ATTAGAGCTTTAAAAATTTATTTCAATCCATTTTAAAATATCAGTTTGAGAAATTCATCATATTTATATAGCTGAATCTTTCTGAAAAGTTATGGAAATTAACTACTGTGTTTTTATTTCAGTAACCAAATCTTATCTTGAATGTTGGTTTATTTTTGAATAGGACCAAGTATTGCAAAAAATTTAGAACCTGTTAACGTCCTATATCAACAAGAAGTTCTATTACCATCTTCAACATATCAGAATAGTGGTTAAGAGTAGGATCTACTGAACCAAAGGGCTTGGATTTGAATCCTGTTTCCTCCATTTGTTATCTGTGTGAAGTTGAGTAAATCACTTACTTAGCTTCTCTATGCCTCCATTTCCTCATTTGTAAAGTGAGGCTAATAATAGTACTTATTCCTAGTGTCCTTGAGCTGATTGAATGAGTTAATATAGGTAAAGTGCTCCCAGCAGGTTTAGGTTTAAATATTAATGTTGCTCTTTTCCTGTATTTGTGTCTTTGCAATCCACAGCCCAAGACTAAGTTCCAATGTTCCTGCTCAGCAGAGATGGTATATCCTAGCCTGAGTTGCTTGGGACTTGTATTAGGCATTTAAAACACTGTCATTATAATGTGAGAGAAAAATGTCTCCTAGAATATGTAGGGAGAATATATCACGTTCCATAAATTTACTTTGCTCTCTTTACATTATTTGCCAAGATTGCCAAAGGGCAAGCTCGTGAGCTAAGATTCCTCACCAACCCACTGGATGAAGCAACAGGTTTGACCAATAAATTACAGTAACTTATGGTCCCTTCTATGGGCTAAATGTGTCCCCTCAAAATTCATATGTTGAAGCCTTAATCCCCAAGGTGACGGTATTTGGAGATGGAACCTTTGGGAGGTAATTAGGTTTAGATGAGGTCAGAGGTCATAAGGGTAGCGCCTCCATGATAGGATTAGTGCTCTTATAAGAGGAAGAGACTAGAGCTCCCTCTCTTTCCACGATGTGAAGATACAGCAAGAAAGCAGCTGTCTGAAAACCAGGAAGAAGGCCCTCACCAGACACCCAATTTACTGGGACCTTGATCTTGGACTTCCCAGCCTCCAGGACTGTGAGAAATAAATGTTGTTTAAACCATCCAGTCCATGGTGTTTTGTTATAGCAGCCAGAACTAAGACATTCTTGTTCTCTCTCACACCAACATGGGAAAGACTGTTGATCACAGATTAGAATTCCCAGTCTGCGTTCCAGGGAACTGTTAGCTGCAGCCACCCCTGCTGTCAGAAGCAGGAAAAACAATCTCTTAATAAGCCAGCATCCCAAGATCAACTTTTCCAGAACTTAGCCTTGCTTGTCAATATCATTTTGATCTCAGGAATTTCTGTTTCTTCCTTAAATCCTCTGCCTCATTCTCTATTGCAATTCTCAAGAGCGAGCATCCTCACCCTCCATCAATCTTCCACAGGGGACATGAGACAAAATCTCCTAACTGTATTCAAAAGCAAAAAGGGAGAGAATTAAGAGGCCCACACTTCCATGGCACAAAAGATTAGTATTTCAGAATACCTGCCCCGTGGGTGTCTCAAGAGAACACTCCCACACTGCACATGAACCTGCCCCTGCCTGGCAAGACACAACTCAAACATAACAGCCACGTGTCCCCAGGACAGTAAAGGGGCCAGCACTATAGTGAAACGAGATGAGCACCACCCTGGGAGGCAGAAGAGCCATTTCTAGAGTAAACCAGCTATGTCACAATGGATAATAACTGTAAAATGGCCGTTTTATTGAGTATATACAGCCAGTGTCCTGAGTCACAGCGGGCACAGAACCATATCGTCAAGTCCCTGCCGTCACTAGTCCAGAGGAGGCTTGGAGACCAGATGTCCTCAAAGGTGGCTTTCTCACATTTAATGAATCTGTGCACCACGTCCGTGGGAAACAGCCAATCATTGCATTTTTAAGAGACTCCAGACACTTAGGAAGTCTCCTCATCATCCTACCAAAGTATTTAATCCTACGGGGCCACAATCATCCCATTAGAGAGCTTGTCCAGGTTTACATCACACCTGACTTCAGCAATTCCCCCCTCAACACCCCGGTGCTCAGTGTCTGTGCAGAGAAGAGTTTCTGGACTTAGAGTTCAGTGGGGGCCCTTTATGAACTACTGTTATGGTACACACTGAGGATGTATATGATCTAATAACACACCAATCCTGAGACTTTCATGTTAATCAGTTTCTCCTGAGGGTGTCTGGTAAAACTTTCCCTTGATGAGAAAATTCCACTTCACTATTACAGAAAAGTCCTTTGACCTGTCTGTGTTCCCAGCCCACTTGGTCAGCTGATTATTGCATAACAGATCCTCATCCAGCAGCACATCTGCTTTATTCTCTCAATCAATGCTTCTCTGTCTTGAGCATCATTGATCTGTTATGTACTTGAGGCCCCTCCCCTGGGATTCAGTACCAGCCCCCTCTCCTAGGGATGCACGGAAATAACAGTGATAACAGTAGTTCTTAATGTTTGTCCTTTCACAGGAAATTGTCCTCAGCCTGTGAATCAAAAAGAACATTTTATTGTTCCTTCTCGTGCCCACCTTTTCACCTTCAGCCCACCCCTTCTGAAACGACAGTCTTCCCATCTAGTCTTGTTAACCCTTGGATGAAAAAAGCAAATTTTTTTACATGATTGATGTTTTGAGGGTAAAGCTGGAGCTTTGCCTGACAGGAATAAATAAAAAGACAAATTGTAGGCACTATGGTGGTCACAGCAGGGACTCCTATCATGCCATCAGCTTCCTTGTCCCCAAATGTGTGAACTGCCTGAAAGACCAAGGTAATTGAAAAGCATGCATATACCTCGGGTTTCTCAGATATTAACGGAAATTGCCTCCTACTGCGGTTGCTTTCTGGCTCAGTGATCTGAAAGAGAAGAGGTCATTCCATTCCTAGCTAAAGTATTGAATACACTTTAACTAGTCCATCAAGGAAGAAAAGTCTCAGTGGACTGGTAGGTAGCAGGACTAATGCAGCGGCTCAATTCTGCCACTCTTGTACTAAGGATGCTCCAATCTTCCCCTCCCTCCCTCCCTCCCTCTCTTCTTTTCATTTCTCTTCTCTCCTCTGTGTCTCCTCCTCCTCTCCTACCTCAGAGAAAGAAAGAGTCGTAGATACACCTGAACACCCTAAGTATGTAACATCTTCCTTTATCTTCAAATTTAAGATGACCACCTTCACTAGCTATTATGCTCATTTTACAAATAATCTAAACGCCTGTGGTGGGTCAGTATGTGTGTGAGTATGAGGGTGTAAGAAATGTTGGTAGGTATAGAAAAAAATATAGAACAAATGATAAACTGTGGGGTCGGTCCAAACATATTGATGAATCCACATATCTTAACCAAAAGGAAAAGTGATTAATAATTTATGTGCAGCTGTTTCAGGGAATGTTGAGTAAACCAGCCGCTCAGCACCTGCAGCTCTGAGTGGCTACTTAACAACAGGATGGACTCACAAGTCCCATATGAAGCTGAGATTAGCAATGACCTGCCTAGCTGAGAGGGGGAGCTCTCAATCAAATGAGCCAGTTACCTGGCTTGTTGCTAGGCAACTCAAGAGTTCCAGCTCAAGAGTTCGGGTCCCCACTGTACCCCACCTGAATACCAAGAAAATTCCCTCTGTTTCAAGGGACTTACAAGCACCCTGGACTGTTGCTGTTGGGAGGGCGATTCCATACAGAGCAGTTAAGATGGGGCTCAGTAAATCTCAGGGCATTGATAAGCAGCACTACTGTTGGTCAATTATTAGGAAATGTGTAGAGTGTCACAAGAAGGCACACTCCGACGCAATTAGGAGACCTTCCAAAGCAGCGTCTCTGCCCAGGTGACTTACAGTGTCCACTTAAAATGTGAGTGATGGCCAGTAGGATGTGACTGAGCTCCCATGGAGCTCCCTGAAACTGGTCAATGCACCAGCTGATTCCCTCCTCTCCCTCTGTCCCCTGCTAGGTCCAGATGACTTTAACTTCAGCACTTTCTGCCTTCTCTTCCAAGGCTAGATCCCATCCCAGCCCAGCCCACCTGGGCTGAGGCAGAGGGAAGGGCAGATGGGGACATTCTCACACTCCCTCTGCTCTCATTGCAGTCAATTTTCATGGCATAAACAGTCCTCCCAGCTTTCCTCAAAGCCTTCTCTTCAGATGTTCAAGAACTTATTTTGGAAGTTTCAAAATGTGTTTGAAGTCTTAATGTTGAAAATTACTTTCTTCTTGCAGCCCTGCTGCCACGATCCTAATTCGCGCATAGACAATGTGAAGGTCTCTGTCCAACTAGAGGAAAGGTCAAGTATAAGGATGTTCGGAAAACTTAAAAAGGCATGAAATTTCGTATTTCAAGACAGCAACTCTCTGCAACCTCATTCACTGGTCCCCTCCTTCTCCACCAACTATTCACTCATCCCTTGGATAGACCTGGAGGACATGATGCTGAATGAAATAAGCCAAATACGAAAAGATAAATACTGTATAATCTCACTTTTAGGAGGTATATAAAACAGTCAAACTCATGGAGCAGAGTAGAATGGTGGTTGCCAGGGGCTAGGGGCAGGGGAAAATGGGGAAGTGATGGTCAAAAGATATCAAATTTCAGTTATGCAAGGTAAATGAGTTCTAGAGATCTACTGTATAGCACAGCGCCTGTAGCTATCAATGCTATGATGTACACTTAACATTTTCTAACAGGAAAGATCTTATGTTAAGTGTTCTTACCATAATAATAATAATAATAATGAGGGTGGGAGGAAACTTTGGGAGATGTTGGATATGTTTATGGTCTGGATGGTGGTGATGGTTTCACAGATGTATACTTATCCCCAAACTCATGTACAGCTCTTTACATGTCAATCATACCTCGATAAAGTAGTTTGAAAATTTTAAAAATATAAAAAAGAGCACATTAGCCATCCTTCATGGAAAGTCTTTAAAATCAAACATAACACAGATTTTAAAATTCCGAAGTATAGTATCTTTAATGGGTTTTTTAATCATTGTCATTTAAACTAAAGTTTCATTGAAATGTATCAGAAAAATACAGAGATATTATTTGTATATAAAAGCATATTTTAAATTCCATTGAAGCCCACTCATTTCATCAACTACAGCTGTTATTTTGTTTTGATGAAAGATGAATAGGGAATAAACAGATGGATCTACCTGTAGAGCACCCTGAAAAATCTAAGTACGTATCCACGTTAGAGAACACTTCTCCCAAATATGCAATCGCTCAATAGCTCAGGCATGAATGATGCTTCCTACAAAAGGAAAGGGGAGGAGGGGGACAAATTACAGGTCTTGTGTTTGGAAAACACAAGAAAAGCTCCAGAGAGAAGCCTCAATTGTAAATACTTGTTCTCAGACAAGAAAGTAGAAGGTGCCCCTGTGACCGTAACATGATGGATTCCACTCTGATAGCAGTGATTCAACCTCCTGACAAGATTAGGGATCTCTAGGTGTGGTGCTTGGCATGGAATCATTGTATCTGCCTTTTTCCATTCAAGGTCCCCTTTGTATTCAGTTTCACTGAGCCGAAGCCAGCCTCTCTAATCTTTCTGTTTTCATAATCAATTTGTAGGGTGTGTTCTGGTCGGTTCTTTTAATCATACTAAAAAGAATCATAGAGCATTCAGATTTCTCTAGTCCAACCCTCTAATTTTCAGATTAAAAAAAAGTCAAGGTCCAGAGAAGTCAGCAATTTTTCCAAGAACATACAGCTCCTTCAAAGGTTCATCAATATCCTTCAGCCTGACTGACATTTAAAAAGAGAAGAAAAAGAGGATCTGGATTCAGGTTTGGGAGAACAAAGGCTTGTGTAATTATGCAGGGCCTGGGGATTGGGAGAAGTGGACCCGGAGTGGAAGGAGAAAGAATGGGCCGCGTGCTGAGAAGCTGTCTACAGGGCCGGGCGTGCAAAGGTTTTAACTCGGCCACGGGGCTGCGAGCAGGCCCACCGGCACCGGGAGCTACGGAGCTTCGGCGGCGCAGGGCCGGATGCTGGTGACGGAGATGCTCTGACCTCGGCACCTCAGGACGCCGGCCTCACACTCTGTCATCGTCCGCTCCCTGCCATTCGCCTCCACGCAGACGCTGAACCCTGTTTCCTCGCACTCCGAGGCGGCTCTGCAGACACATTTGCTGCTCTGGGCTGGAAAAAGAAGCGAGAGAGGCTTGGTGGCCCATGGTGGAGGTGGGGAAGACAAGGCGCATCACGTCCAAAGTCGTGATGTTTGGTAATTGGAGAGCTGTAGACGCTCCTGCCTCGCGTGATGCAGTCAATTACCCTCCCCTCTCCCGGACCCCCAGGAAAAGCTGCAGGATTGGGCAAGGGAGGCATTTCGCTCCACTCCGACAGAATAAGCAGGTTTTGAGGCTGCTGCCAGGCTTCCTATCGATGGGACCCCCGCGGAGCGGTTCTCTCCTCCACGCGCTGCACAGGGGGGGCCCAAACCCCCGGTGTGACCCCTCAACGCCCAGACCAAATGCAGAGACCTCAGCAAAACGCCGGGCTGCGAGGCTCAAACAGAGGGAGACAAGAGAAGAATTAACTTGCTTTGAGAGAGAGAGGGCATGAAATGCAAAAGGCCTCATGCCCCATAAAGACCCATCAGAAACGAGTCGGGGAGGAAAGCCGTGTGTGTGCTGAAGGTGCGAGGCTGGAACACACCAGCCAGGCGTCCCCAGAAGGAGGGTAACCAGGTCTGCCAGACCACTGTGGTGACTGCCAAACCGAAAGTGACCCAGACGTGCCTATATGTGTCATCGTCTCTGCTGCAAATGGGACGGGAGTGAGGGGAAAGGTGCCCAGCGGGTACCGGCCAGGAAAAGGAGGGCCTGAGGATCTAGCAGAGACCTTACAGATCAAGATCGCACCGTCCGGCTCCCAACTTGACAGATGGGGAAACTAAGGACGGTGACTTGGCTCTGGCGACCCAACTCCTCCCCCCCGCGGAGGAGGGCTGGCCAGTGCTGGTTGTCAAGATCATTGTTAAGTGCTACCTGGACACAGCACCAGCAAGTATGGAATCACAGCTTGAGAATGTAGTACCTCCTTTTCTATTCTCTTCACATCCTTCTGATTGCTTCTAGGAGAAAGTGTCAGCTTGGCACGGGTGTGCTTTCAACACACCCCTGACACTTGCTAAACACCCTTTATCACAAGGAAGCTTCATCCTCCAAGCTTTGAGCAGCCTCTGGCTAGAATCTCCTACCTTGTTTTGTTTCATTGTATGTATTTTCATGGTTACCTAATATTTATGGCAAGGGACATTTCCTATTAAAAATGTGATATAACGTTTCTTCTTTTAAAAATTGTTATTTTTATGGGAGTCTGTTTCTTTTTGAATGAGTACATAATATGGCTAATACAAGGACAGAGCAAAAATCATGAAGGTGGAACGTGATGTTTGGGAGGACATTCAGACCATCAGGGAGAGTTCTTGATCGACCCCCTCCCCAGGGAAGGCAGTCAGGGAGGATAGTTCATGCTCAGACCAGTCGGAGTCTTTGATATCCTCAGGGATGTGCTTTGATCTGCCGCTAAACTAGAAAACTTCACTCCTACTACTTGAGCATTTTTGTAGCTACAAATATGAAATGCCCCTTACCGTCACATTTTCCCCATAGTGGACACACACCGCAAGCTTTCTCAGCTGAGGCAGGTAGAGTACAGCTCTCCCTACCAGCAACAGTGTAATTTCTACCCTGACATTGGAGAACATGAATCTTGCAAACTGTCAGAGGCAGTATCCTTTTGCTTCTCTCATCTCGAGCACACACATCCAAGGAGGATCTGAAACAAATTTTTTAAATTACTTTATTTACAAGATTTTCTTTCTTCAAAGCTGAGAATGAGAAGTGAAAGGTGAGGCTCTGGGTTCGATGACTCAGATGTTGTCACCTACAGCAAAAAGATGGAACAGAAATGCAAATGCCCCGCATTACTAGGGCCCAACCCCCTCCAATCTTCAAAATGAACATATTTTGCTCTTTATTTACTCACAAGTTTTACAAGCTTAGATATCTAGTGTCAATGTAGTTTCATCTAGAACAGATCGGATACAGCAAATTAGAAGAGAAGGCAACGTCTGCTAGCCACAGATGGTAGATTGACGACAAAGAAGGAGACAGAAAATTAGCAAAGATCAAAACACTCAGAGGAATGGGAGTCAAATGGGACCACTGGCTGCAGAAGAAAGTACCTCCTCCCAAGCCAGCAGCCCTGAGAGTTCAGGTCCATATTATAGCATTATCCACAGCTGATGACTGAATCCTCAAGGGAAAATGAACTCTATTTTTCAACGCTATTTTTAGAGTATCTACGTTTACAAAATAGTTTAGAAATATCTCCATAAAATGGGTTACTTTTTTTCGTATGCATTGGTGTTAAAATAGTGCCAACTATTTGAAATGTCACTAATAAAAACAACCACATTTCTGAATGCTGATGGGTAAGGAAACAATTACTGTAGCGAAACCCTAGACAGCAAGGCTGTTTTGAATAATAAACAGAATCTATATTTACTTATATATATTTAGCTCTAATGTTTACTTCTCTGAACAAGAGTTAAATTTATTTGGACATTTACATAACAGAAATAAATCCTAGTATTTCTTTTTTATCTGTTTATTTAAACTTTACATAGAAGTACGCAGAACAGCTTAAAGGGCAGAGAACTTACAAGGCCATCTATCTTGTTATCAGTATCTGATGTTAAAACTCTTACCATATTTATAAACAGGCTGCAGATAAACTCAATGAATCAGAGAAGTTGGAAAGAGGATGAAAGTGAGTCAAAGCAAACAATGATTAATAGAGAATAACAGCACAGTCAGAAGATTCTGGGCTGACCATTTCCACTTATGCTATTCAGTTTTATGTTCTCCTTCACATGAGAAGTTACTTCTTATAAGATACCACCATAGTCATCATTACCCAATGTAGGTGTTCAAGAAGATGTGTTTTGGTGACCATACTAATTGAAAGCCAAGTAATTGGCTAATAATTTGTGTTTTGATTCTTAACCTTAAAGATGGCCAGTAAGTCCTGGGGACTGGATATCTTCCATTTGCCTCTCCAGATTCACCCTCCACTCTTCTCCACCCTGCCTGGGAGGCTGACACGTATGGACCACATCAATAGACTTCCTTGTCCTCTAGCTTCAGGGGTGTTTGATCAATGGGGGAGTCTGGCAAGAGACTGGAGGGAGAGAAGAGGGTACAATGGGGGGTTTTATTCCCCTGGCTCACTGCTGGGGATCTCTGAGGGCCCCAAATGAGGGACTCAGCTCTTCCTCAACTAGCGCTCTGTCAACAGGTTTTCATAAGTGCTCCTCTCTCACGCCTTCTGGCTTGGGCACGGAGATACTATAAACCCGAACTGCTACCAGTCCAGGAATACTGCCCCGTGGCTTGCAGTTTTCTTTACTCTGCCCACATTTCTGTAAATAGTCCCACCAGTAAACCTCCTCTTGTCTCAATTTAATCATGCCCTCTGTATCCAACAACCAGTAATTACTCCAGATATCTTTCTACAATGGAGTGATTTCAAGTGTGGTGGTGTTCTTAGAATGCAAATCTAGAAATAAACATATTTCAAGAATCAGAAAAGTGGCTGCTTTTGTTTCTCTTGGTATCTTTAAGAGTTTACGTCTCATGGGAATTTCAGCCCCAATCTCCTCAAGCTCTAAATCCTCAGGTGACGGTTTTGTCATTTTGCCCCATTTTATGTAGAGAACAAGCGGTCTCAAGCAGTCCTTCAGCCTTTCTCACCAGCCAGATTAGATCACTGCCTAACGCCACCAATGGTCAGTCCTGGTGACCCAGGCAAATAACAAGCAGCAAATGGACTGGACTGAAATGCAAAGACCCTTAACCCATGGTAAGTAACATCTTTGAGCTAACAGAGACTGGCATCTAAGAAATCATGCCATCTATTTTTTTTAATTTAATTATTATTTGTTAACTTTTTTATTTTATATTGGGGTATAGTTTATTAACAATGTTGTGTTAGTTTCAGGTGTACAGCAAAGTGATTCAGTTATACATATACATGTATCTATTCTTTTTCAAATTCTTTTCCCATTTAGGTTGTTACATAATACTGAGCAGAGTTCCCTGTGCTATGCAGTAGGTCCTTGTTGGTTACCTATTTTAAATATAGCAGTGTGTACATGTCAATCCCAAACTCCCTAACTATCCATCCTCTGCACCCTTTCCCCCCGGTAACCATAAGTTCGTTCTCTAAGTCCGTGAGTCTGTTTCTATTTTGCAGATAAGTTCATTTGTATCAATTTTTTTTTAGATTCCGCATATAAGTGATATCATACGATATTTGTCTCTCTCTGTCTGACTGACTTCAGTTAGTATGACAATCTCTAGGTCCATCCATGTTGCTTCAAATGGCATTAAGAAATCATCCCATCTATTTTAAATAAAACAGAGAAGAAGACAGAGCTTACCCACATTCATAAGGCATTTTACAAACACATCTTGAATTCTGCAGTTTCTCCCAGCGCTGACATTCAGGCACTTCCGGTGCCAAAGGGGCATCTAAAAGAAAACAATAATGGAGAGGCAATTATTAGGTGAAAAGCTTCTTCAGAGCAAACAAGGTATTATTTTAATTGTTGAACCAGGCTCTGTAATATTCTCAACTGCAACAAGTTTGTACAGTAAAAAATAAAGCTATAAAGCATTTTACAAGAGCTAGAGCATTCCTAGGACCACCCAATTTCATTGGTCACAATAGCTACCATTTCTTGAGCATTTACTCTTGGCCCTGCCCTTTTTATACATTGTGATATTTAATCCCCTTAATAAGTGCCCATTTAAGAGATGATGAAACTAAGAGACAGAAAAGTTAGGAAATTCATGCTAGTTAACAAATTGGTCAAGCCAGGATTGAAGTCCATGTTTGTCTGAATTGAAGGCCCATAGAGTAGGCTCCCTTTCATCAAGTACATGGGGGTTTAAAAACTGTTTGTTATGTGGACGTATTTTGCCCACTGTGCCTATAATGAGACAGAAAGCATACCATCACTTGACTTATACAAGAAGAACTCTCAGTATCTCAAGGACAACTATAATAACCTCTTACATGTAAATGTCCAAGTGGTCTCCCCTCAACAGTGACTAAATGTCTGGAGGTACTTACATCAATAAAATCCTTTCCTTTATTTTATGTTTCTTACAAACTGATAGAAAGCCAATCATCATTCCAGTTTTGACAGGAAAACACTTTGGTCCAACTTACAAGAGCATAATTTGCCACGGCCTAGGCTATGCCTGCCTACAATGTGAACAGTCTACACCACCCTGCAATTTCCACCTCCTGCCAGCTTCATTACAATGGAATTCAGTGGCATACACTTTTGCATCATAAAACTAGCTACCTGCTGGATATATCTATAAAGGTCATTTGTCTGCAGGATGTGTTTTTATGGGTGCACAAACTATGGAATACTTCCTTACTTCGGAAAACATAAGAGCTTTAGACATGACAGGAAAATCTCATGAACAAGGAAGGTATAAACTTGTAAAAATGGTAGCAAGGTGAAGTATGCCTGCCGTGTCCAGCAAGGTCTCTAGCAAGTACTTATTCTTTAAACATTTTTCTTTGAAATGGTATTATCTTTTATTTTTTTTTACACAGCAGGTGCTTGTTAGTCATCAATTTTATACATATCAGTGTATACATGTCAATCCAAATCGCCCAATTTGAAATGGTATTATCTTAAATGCAACGTAGTATCCTGAATTGGATCCTAGACCATGAAAAGGATATCGGTGGAAAAACGGTGATGTATGAATAGAGTCTGTAGGGTAGTCAATAGTATGGTACTATTTAATATTAATGTCTTGGTTTTGACCAACTAAATTGTGTCAAGGTATGTAAGGTGTTAATATTATGGGAAGATGGGTAAAGGGTATATGGAAACTATACTTGCAAATTTTCTGAAATCCTAAGTAATTCCAAAATAAAATATTTTAATGGTATTATCTAGATCAATGCTTCTCAACCAGGGGCAAATGTTTGCCCCTGGGGACATTTGGCAATGTCAACAGACATTTTTGGTTGTCACCCCTGTGAGACGCTACTGGCATCTAGTGAGCAGAGACCAGGGATTCTGCCAAACATCTGATAAGGCACAGGACAGGCTCCCACACAAAGAATTATCAGGGCTCAAATTCCAGTAGTGCTGGGGTTGGGAAAGTCTGATCTAAATGGACCAAAACTGAAGTTCAGTGATTAAGCCATGTACATTAGTTCTGTATTATTATTAGCAGTTTATTTGCTAACTGTTCATAAGGATAGAATTTCAAATTTTAAATATTTTCTAAAAGTTATTATAATATCTTTGCGGAAAATCGCTTGTAGAATTACCTACACCAAAGACTTTTGCATTTAAAAAGAATATAGCTTTGTTATCTTCATGGCTTGACTAACCAAGTAAACACACTCTTAGGACCCACCTCCAGTATGTACGTTTACTATTTTAAAATCAAATATCTTCCCATCAAGACTAAGTACTGATGCGGGTGCGGATAAATAACGGGCTAGTGTTTAATGGACACAGAGTTTCAGTTTGGGAAGATGGAAAAGCTCTGGAGACGGATGACAGTGATGGTTGAACAATAATGGGAATGTACTTAATGCTACTGAATTGCACATTTTTAAATGGTTAAAATGGTAAATTGTATGTTGTGTATATTTTACCACAATATAAAAAAGACGAAATACTTGTACATCAGGTATTTTCAAACTCTGGAGGCTGACAAACCTGGAACTTTTGGTGTGTTATAGGCTTATGTTAAGGGTAGTTATTATTGTTATCTAAGTCTTCTGAAAAACACACAGATCTGAAAAACATCCTTAATTAAAACCTTAATAGGATTTGCTACTGAGTGGGAGAAAATTCATACCAAATGTGTTATAAAGTGACTGAAAAAGACATTTCAGAAAAAAACAAGTATATAAAGTATATAATCTCATTTGGAAGAAAAGAGCAACCTCATCAACTGTACATTGTTCTCCTTAATTTTAGCATTATTGGTACAGGTCCATTACTTTATCCCAAATAAACTCATAGTTATACCTCAGTGCATGTAGAAAACAAAGCAGCTGTCTCTGCTCTGACAGCTACAGAACATGTGAGAACAGGCAGGGCAGCCATTCCACTGGACACGCAGCCCTCCCATTCTGTCCTCTGTGATCTATTTAACACAATCAGTCACAGAGTGCTCTCTTTTCAATTGTGAAGATCTAATTCACCTAATATTACTATTCATGGAATCAACTACTTCATCTTCACTATAGAAGACAAATTTCAGCATCGAATTAAAAATTATATACTCAAGTAATAAGAATATCATATAAAATAGAATGCAAGTACGATTTTCTTCTTGTTTTTAATTGTTACAAACATAATATTTTCCATTTCTTAAAAAAAATGTAAAGAAAGAGGAAGTTATTCTGAAAACAAATCTATCCCATTTTAAGTATCTCTAAAAGAAATAGTTTGGCTTTCTAAATCTCTTCCTGCCTTAGCTTCTTAAAAGACCATTTTATACCAATGGACTTATTTACAAAACAGAAATAGAGTCACAGATGTAGAAAACAAACTTACGGTTATCAGGGGGAAACGGGGGAGAGGGATAAATTGGGAGATTGGGATTGACATATACACACTACTATGTATAAAATAGATAACTAATAAGGACCTACTGTACAGCACCGGGAACTCTACTCAATACTCTGTAATGGCTTATATGGGAAAAGAATCCAAAAAAGAGTGGATATATGTATATGTATAACTGATTCACTTTGCTGTACACCCGAAACTAACACAACATTGTAAATCAACTATACTCCAATAAAAAATTTTTTAAAAAACTATTTTAATTTGCCATGTGTTCAAAATACTGGATATTTGGATTTCGACCTATAAGAACAACTTCACAAACCACACTACTTTTCCTTCAATAACTCTGCTTTGCAGGGTTATATGTAAGTGCTTTTATATTTTCAATTTCAATACCACTAATAAACTCTAAGAGCCCAAATATGAAACATACAGAATTTTATATAAATTATGATCTCAACTCTATACTTCATAAAAGTACATTTTTAAAAATCAGGAGGAAACCAGAAATCAGCTTTTAGAAATTCTTTATTTTCTTGGCACCTTAACAAATATAAAACTAATCTTTGATACGAAGGATTTAAGTTAAAATTTCAGAATCACCAGGGCTATTCTTGCCTTTCCTTGAATTCTGTGAGTCTATCTGTGCCATGTGCAAAAAAGTCTGTTACCCACTCTATGAACTGACCTTCTTGTAGCAGGGCAGGGATGGAGGGAGTGATTCCGCTTTGGAGGTTCAGTGCCTTGAGGAACTGCCGCAAGGACTCTCATTCCGGGAGTGTACGTGTCCTTGGACAGACCCAAGAGCCACTCACCTTTTTGCACACACTGGACGTTCTTCATCTCAGGGCTCCACTTAAGGCTGGATCCGCAGAGAAATGTCGAAGGACCTTCTAAGGACCTGCCACCTGAACAGGAAAAGGTCACCTTCTCACCAACGGTGTAGAAAGGTTTGTGGGGATGACTCTGTATGCCATCCATCAGTGCAGGTAGAACGCAGGCAATTTCTAAAGAGAAAAGAGAGAAGAATACAAGGGTCACTGCTTTCCTAAACCATCTTTTAAAAAAAAAATGACAGCCTTGAATGTTGCTGATACACTTGTTCTGCTTTTTCTAATTAAAGGACAAGGAGGAAGAGGCGAGTTCACTCTTAGGATGCCCTGAAAGACATATCCCAACATGCCTGGCATGTTAATGACATGAATGACTGAAGGCCAAAACAGTTCCCATTCTCTCACCCCTGCCCTCAAAGCCATGTGACAACTTAAAATGAATAAGCCTTTTAGAGTCCTGAAGTCCAGCCTGCTGTTAAAACCAGACTTTTTACAGCTGCTACTTCTTGTCTGGTGAAGTCCCACCAGAAATTTCCCAAGAGCTGTGTTCATTTGCATATCATTAGCATGTACCCAATTAGATATTTTGCCATCTGAAATCTTTAAAGAACCACCTTTAACCTTGCAACCATAAAAGTGTTAAATCATTTTTGGTTTCCCAGTTCTATCTTTTCTTATTCCATCACATTCATTAGCTCAAATCTTCTACTTGAAAAAACAAGAAGAATGAGAAACATGCATAGTCATGGAAGGCGAGTCAGAATTCATGATTAAAAAAAAAATCTTGCCAATCTCTCTAGTGGACTTTGGACAATATTCTACAAAGTACTGCTTTATTTCTGCACCATTTTAATCAGACAATCCATTCATTCATTCAAAATCAGCATTTATTGAGTGTCTATATTTTGCCAAATATGCTGTGTGCTACTAGGGACACAAAACACTAGTCACATAATCTGCCTTCAGAAAGCTAATAATTTAGCTTCAGATTTGTTTATTTCTGGCCATGACACATTTGCTGGTTTCACACGAATGCTCCCACTAAGACATATAGAAAGGCTGTACAAAGTTAAAGAAAGAGTATTTCTGAGAGCAACAGACAACAATCAGAGCAATGGAAATTTGAAGGCCCAAGACTCTAGAAAAAGGGAAGTCTAAAGTAGTGATTACAACGTTTGGTAATGCTTCTGTCCTTGAGGTTATTTGTAAAGTTGAAAAAAAACATTTTTTTTTAATGTGCTGAAGGGCTGCTAAACTAAGGAGGAAGCTGCAACTCAGAGGCTGAATAGCTGCATAGAGTTTTTAGCAGTCTCACAGGGCTAGGAGACCAAAAATTAGAGTCCAGTCCTGTTACAAAGGAGGAGGCTCAGTAGAAACCCCATACTTTCCCTTATGATCCCTTAATGGATACCTAAGATAAAGGTAAAGCAGACATAAACAAGCCTTGTTCTTGCCAGAAACAAACCTAAATCTTTTCTAGAGGAAGATAACATCATCCATATGTATTTTTTTTACATATAAATCTGGCATTCAACCAAAACTAATCTAACATTCAAAAATACAATAGAGGGGCTTCCCTGGTGGTGCAGTGGTTGAGAGTCCACCTGCTGATACAGAGGACATGGGTTCGTGCCCTGGTCCGGGAAGATCCTACATGCTGCGGAGCGGCTGGGACCGTGAGTCATGGCCGCTGAGCCTGCGCATCCAGAGCCTGTGCTCCGCAACGGGAGAGGCCACAACAGTAAGAGGCCCGCGTACCGCAAAAAAAAAAAAAAAAAAACAGTAGAAACATCTACAGCAGATCCAGATGATGGGGTTAACAGACATGGACCATGAAATAACTATGATTAATATGTTGGAAAAATGAAATTAGAAGATGGAGAATATCAACAGAGAATTAGAAAGTATAGAAAAGTAGACAAATGGAATATTTAGAATTGGAAAATGAAATTAAGAACTCAGTAGATGGGCTTCCCTGGTGGCACAGTGGTTAAGAATCTGCCTGCCAATGCAGGGGACACGGGCTCGAACCCTGGTCCAGGAAGATCCCACATGCCATGGAGCAACTAAGCCCGTGCACCACAACTACTGAGCCTGTGCTCTAGAGTCTGCGAGCCACAACTACTGATCCCATGCGCCACAACTACTGAAGCCCGCATGCCTAGAGCCCATGCTCCGCAACAAGAGAAGCCACCACAATGAGAAGCCCACTCAAGGAAGAGTAGCCCCCGCTTGCTGCAGCTAGAGAAAGACCGCACACAACAACGAAGACCCAACGCAGCCAAAAAGAAATAAATAAATTTAAAAAAAAGAACTCAGTAGAGTTCTTGAAAGCAGATTGTCACAACTGTACAGAGAATTAATAAACTGGAATATAGATCAATAGAAAATATTTAAAATGAAACAGAGAGAGAAAAATTGATGTAAAACAAAGAAATGTAGAGAATTCCCTGGCAATCCAGTGGTTAGGACTTGGCACTTTCACTGTCTTGGGCCTGGGTTCGATCCCTGGTTGGGGAACTAAGATCCTGCAAGACACAGGGCATGGCAAAAAAAACCAAAACAAAACAAAGAAATACATATATATATACACACACACACGTATGTATATGTATATACATTCTAAAAAATGTATAATTTGTGTCTCATGAGGAGACGTGAGCAAGAATGAGACAGAGCAATATTTGAGGACAAAGGTGAAGAATTTTCTAAAACTGACAAAAGACATTAAAGCATAGGTTCAAGAGTGCTTTGAAGATCAACCAGGACAAAGACAAAGAAAATCACACCTAGGCACATCAGAGTAGAGTTGCTTCTGGAAAAGAAAAAAAATAAAAAATCTTAAAAGCAACCAGACCAAAAAAATACGATTTCCAAAGGAGAAACAATAAACTTGAAAGCTGACTTCTCACTAAAAAACAATGAAGTCAGAAGGCAATGTAATAAAATCTTTAAAGGTTTTAAAGAAAATAAGCTAACTTAAAATTCCTTATCCAGTAAAACTATCCTTCAAAAGTAAAGATAAAATAAAAACGTTTTAGATGAACAAATACTGGGACAACTATTCACCAGTAGATACACAATAAAGAAAAAGAAGCTTTTCAAGCAGAAGTATCTTATTAATCTTTTAAAAGAACTAAAGTTTGGTTTTAATACTCTTAGCTAGGGAATATTTATATTCTATTTTGGCAATATTGATAGTTTATTTCTTCCCAAGGACTCTAGGGCAGAGAGACAGAAAGACAGACAGAAACAGAGAGAACAAGAGGAGACCTTACAAATCAGTAAGAAAAAGACTAACAAACCAACAGAAAAAATGCCCAAAAGATTAGACAGCCACTTCACCAAAAAAAGTATCCAAATACCCAATAAATATATGAAAACAGGCTTAACATCATTAGTCATCAGAAGAAATACAAATTTAGAAATACAAATTAAAAAATAAGATATTGCTACACACTCACCAGTATAGCTAAAAAAAAAAAATTAAGATAGACAATATCAAGTGTAGGTGAGGACACAGAGCAATCTTGACTTCTCAGATTCTGTCCGGGATGTACAACCACTTGGAAGACTGGTAGCGTCTACTAACTCTAAATGTATGTATACCTGACAACTCAGAACTTTTACTAATATGTATGTACTCAAGAGAATAAAATGTACCTGTGTGCACTAGGACTTTCCTCATATAGCCTAGACCAACTGATATAGGATAAATACATCCCTGTAGTGCTGTCTATCCATCTGCTGAAGAATCTTATATTGTAGCACAGCTGAGATAGAAACCAGAAAATAGCGTTAGGGTGATACAACATGCAGAAGCACTTACTCAGATGCTATATCTAAACAAAATAGGATCAAAAGCATTTAAGGAAGTAGATTGTGGTAAATCCCTGGTAATTAAACTCTAAAGAACATCCTGATGGTCTTAACCAGAACTGAACTCCCTGACCCATTCTAATTTGCACCAGAAACTTTAAAATTGCAATAAAATGTGCCTCACCTAACAGGAGCACTAACAACTAGAGAAAGCTGAGGGGTTTTTCAAGATATTCCTGAAATTTGGACAGGATCATATAAGCCTTTCAGGAAAAGGAGATCAAGACATGGGCATATGGTAAGCGGTTATTTATCCTGATTTATTCCTTTCCACACTATTCTTTCATCTTGAATTATATATTATAATCAAGGCCACTCACTCTGACAATGCATTTTCCCAACAAGCCACTGTAAATTTTCTCCACATCTGGCAACAGGGTCTCCAACAAGAGAGTATCCTTCATTGCAAGTATACACTATGTTTTTCCCAACAGGAAACATGGCACCTTCATCCTAAACAGAAATAAAAGATGGAGAAAGGAAGAATATCTCTTTTGCATTAACAAAATGTTTCTTTAGATATATTCAGCCTATAAATCATGACTTCTTTAATCATCAGGCAATCTACATTCAAATAACTCATTTTGGAAATTGTCTGTAAAATTATTTTTTCCTGTAGAGTCCTAGCCAACAACACTGGTACCACCATTAATTGAAATAAAGCTATTAATGCCACTGTACTATAATTTATTGACAGCTCCCCAAAACCAAGCATTATACTAAACATTTTACTAAAATTACGTTAGTGGACACTACTCAAGTAACTTCTATTATACTTTCAGGAAAGCATCGGATTTTGGAAATGTCCTTATCAGTCAACTCTTCCTAGTGAGGTGTTATGGGCTGTCCGTTGGCAATATTGACCAATAAATGTCATTATGAACAGGCAGAAATGTTCAAATGTCCTATCAACATGTTCACGAAAGTTTGAGCTTCCCACTGATGACTTTCAGGGGAAGCATGATGTTGATCTTCACCCACTACCCTCCCCAGCCCCTTCACTGTAAGGGAAGTGACGCTGAGGCTGAGTCAGATTCAAGGACATGTCATTAGCCTATAATGCCAGGAGGTGAGATTTCATTGGGAAGCAAGGAAGAATCTGAAGTCTGAGCCTTGAGGGAGTCATCATTCTTGTTTGGTGTCTCTCTTGGTTCCTTTCCTTATCCATCTAGTTCTCGGCTACTCAAGAAGATGGGGAAGAAAACTGGCCTGGGAGAGGGCGTGGAGCTGGACCAGCTCTGCTGTAGGCAATAGAACAAAATTCTGTGGCACCTTCTTCTCACAGACAGTCTTGCTCTTCCTGGCCCAGTCTGGCTCCATCATGAGAATTGGTAGGAAAAAGAGCACCCAGATTGGCATTGTGATTTGAAGAAAATGGGGAAAGATATTTGATCTGCCTTGGTTCTAGCCCCTAGGCCTTCCACTGCCTTGCAGAAGGGACTTCTATATGAGAAAGTCTAACTCAACAGTGTCTAAACCTGGCCGTCTCTGTCAAAACCATTAGTAACAATTAAAAAAAAAAAACAACTCTCAGGCTCTACACTAAACTTACAAAATGAGAAAAAAAAAAAAGGAGAACAAGGGGCAAGCAGCAATCTATTGTTAAGTTTCCTGGGTGCCTATGATGTAGCCAGTCCACGGGACAGTGTTTGGAACCCCCAGCTCCTTACAGGACACCATATGCACTACAGTTGAAGACAGCAGCTTCGTGGTTTGCTGAAGTCTATGAGTCTGCCTGGCCTCATTCTATAAGCATATTTCCTTCAGGAACTTCATGGATTGTGGTGGGATAATATGAGTGTTAGAGAGTCTAGGTTCACTTTCTCTCTCTCTCCATACACACACACATACACATCTCCCAACAGTACCTACATTTGGGGAAATTTCAGCAAACAAACACTCAGTGAGTATATGTTCAAGGGTCTGGCATTTGAGAGGCAAATTCTTCACGGAGAAACCAAGGCTGGTGGCACTGAGAAAATCCTGATGAACAATAGCTCCTATGTACCATGAAGAGATACTTCCTGGTGTTTGGAGCCAAAGCCTCATCGTAAGAAGTAGTGAGAAGAGCACACAAATTAATATGGCCCCAAAGCCATGTTAATTTCCCAGAATGACAAATGGCAGATGACTTGTGCTCCCTCCTGAACAAGAAAATTGCTCAAGTATAATACAGTGACCCATATGTCACCAGACATTGGCTAGATGTCTTACTGGCCCCTGGAATAAACCTAATGCTTTACCCCAACCCTTGTATTTATGAAAAATTTAAAAAGACTCCTTGCAGTGAAAAGAACCAGGTAAGTTCTCTATGCTGAAAAACTTGCTTATAGATTCCTACTTTCGTGTTCAGAATGGAAATGTTTAGCTACCCTCTGGCATGATTACATTTCTAATTCATTGGGTGGCAATATTGATTTCCTCCTGAAGATATATTACCTCCTGAAGAATTCTAACCACCTTGGGCCAAAGAAGAAAACTCACAAACTAAAATCCTCACTGCTAAACTAAAATGCACACTAAAATGTTTTTGGCACTGTTTCATCATGGAAGGAGGAAGCAGATTATGACATCAGTAGAGAGCTAGAACTTGGAATGAACAGTGTATGTAAAGGAAAAAAGTATCTTTTATAACCAACTTGAACATATCCGTCTTTCAAGGCAGGAGGTGATGGACAGAATTCTGTTGGAACCAAAGGCAAAGGAAAACAATGTGGTTCAAGCATTCTGAAAGGAAAAGGAAACAAAACATAATTAACATGATGGATTTTCCACAATTTAACAAATATTTTACAGCACAGTGAATTTTTCATTTGCAGCTGAAGTAAGTAGTGGACACTGCTCTGTGATGTGATGTTTTTGTCATTCTCAGAATAAAATATCTGACCACATCCCATGATAGAAAACACATATCAACTCACGCTTCCAAAAGATAACTACCAGATCAGTAGTACGGAAAACAAACAAAGAAAAGAAAAAGAAATAAAGCCATTGGACAACACATATGATTTATGTGATTCCTACAGGTCACCTGTCTCACACCCACTTTTTCTCCTGCTATTTGGTTCTTAAATACCTTTAACACAAAATTAATTCTGTATTGAAAATAAGGGAATTCAAGTTTGTGATCCTGCGAGAGGTAACACAAAATAATAACTATTTTTGACTGAGTGCTTACTATGTGCTAGGCATCTTGACAGATGTTCGACAAATGTGCCTCAGCTCAATTCACACGCACAGTAACTCCATGAGATATGTGCAGAAAGGCTCAGGAAGTTTGAATAACTTGTCCAAGGTTATAGAGTAAAAAATACCAGGGCTGGATTCATGTCTAGTTAAGCTCCTAAAATCGTGCTATTTCTACCTCTCACAAGGCAATCTCTAGGGGAGCTCACAGTAATTGAAACCGAGCAGGGCCCTGTGGGGCTCCAAGGCACAGAGGCCTTTTTTCATTCGCCGTTTCCTGTAGGCGAGACTCCAGCCTCCATGACCTTCCCTGAGTTCCAAAGGGCAGATGTGAACAGTTGCTAATCAAGGGAGAAGCATCCAAGCAACCACCTGAGGCGACATTAAAGGGACCAGAGAGACTTCCCTGGTGGTACAGTGGTTAAGAATTCACCCTCCAACGCAGGGGACTTGGCGTTTGATCCTTGGTCAGGGAACTAGATCCTACATGCCGCAACTAAGGAGCACACATGCTGCAACTAGACCCGGTACAACAAGGATAAATTAAATAAATACAACTTAAAAATAAATGTTTTAAAAAAAATTTTTTTAATGTTTCATTGCTGAATCATACCCCTAGGTTAGAGTTCTTTATGCCACACCCCACTCTTTCATACTGTCCTTATTAACCTTTTCTGATCAGGTACTGGCAAATATTTTAGAAAGATAATTTGAAGACCATGTGAGTTGAGGAAATGTGTAAGATGCTTGGGTATCTGGTATTAGCATAGGGAGGTGAGATGCCTTATTCCTGGGTCTTGGGTGCCTCGTAATCCAACAACAACCAATATCTCCTGGCTGAGGAAGCTGGCAAACATATGAGATTCTGGTAGGAGGAGAATGTTGCCTTCAAGGGCACAGATCTCTGGGAAGATGAGGGTCTCGGAGGAGACCTCTCCCTCCGTGGGCATATTTCCTCTACCTGTAGACATAAAGCTGGATGGACAGCAGCATCCTAAGGGAAGCACTGAGAGAATTCTCGCTCTTCTTGGTGCTCAGAGGAGAGGAAATATCCTCTTCTTCCTTAGTACAAAAAGGAAAGTTATGCTTATACCTCACATCTGAGTTTCCTCAGTGTGTGGCAAGAATGTAAGGAACTCAGCTCAGAAGGCGGCAACATTCACAGGCTATTTGTAAGGCTTCCCCTCAGATTTCCTGTTTCTGGAGTGGAGATAATACTGGTGTAGAGTGACCTCAGAGGCACTGCTGAAAATCATTGTTTAATGATAGATGTCATTGTTATCATGATTATGATGCCAAAATCTCGGCATCTCTGTACACCAATGCCGAATCAAATCTCAGAGACAGAGTTTTGGGTGAAGTAGAAAAGGATAGCTTTTGTACTTTGCCAGGCAAAGGGGGATACAGCGGGCTCCTGCCTTGAAAAACTATGTGTGTCCCCCTGCCATCCCTGCCAGAGGATTTGATGAGGGGTTTATAACAACAGTCCAAGGGTGGGGTTTCTGACAAGATCAGGGTGTGTGCAGGGCTTGTCCTCCCTCGTCTCCAGTAGTCGAGCTCTAATCTTTTCTTTTTTTTTTTTTTTTTGCGGTACGCGGGCCTCTCACTGTTGTGGCCTCTCCCGTTGCGGAGCACAGGCTCCGGACGCGCAGGCTCAGCGGCCATGGCTCACGGGCCCAGCCACTCCACGGCATGTGGGATCTTCCCAGACCGGGGCACGAACCCGTGTCCCCTGCATCGGCAGGCGGACTCTCAACCACTGCGCCACCAGGGAAGCCCGGGCTCCTAATCTTGATGAGCTTCTCTGGTCCCTCCTACCAGAATCCCGTATGTTTGCCAGCTTCCTCGGCCAAGAGATATTGGTTATTGTTGGATTACAAAGCACCCTAGGAATAAGGAATAAGGCGTCTCACCTCCCTATGCTAATACCGGATACCCAATCATCTTACACATTTCCTCAACTCACATGACCTTCAAATTATCTTTCTAAAATATTTGCCAATACTTGATCAGAAAAGGTTAATAAGGACAGTATTAAAGAGTGGGGTGTGGCATAAACAACTCTAACCCAGGGGTATGATTCAGCAACGAAGCTTTTTTTTTTTAATATTGATTAATTGATTGATTTTTGGCTGTGTCGGGTCTTAGTTGCCCTGTGGCATGTGGGATCTTAGTTGCTGACCAGGGATCGAACCCACAATCCCCTGCATTGGAAGGCGGATTCTCAACCACTGGACAACCAGAGAAGTCCAGCAATGAAGCGTTTTTGAAGATAGCTTTTGCAAGGTCCTGGCAAACAGGAAGTTAGTATCAGACACCTGGGCTAATCAGTGAAGATGTTAGCTGTCTCAAATGTATGCTTCATGCTTAGTCCAAAGTAAATAAATAAGAGGGAGTGGGGGCTTCCCTGGTGGCGCAGTGGTTGAGAGTCCGCCTGCCAATGCAGGGGACACAGGTTCATGCCCCTGACCTGGAAGATCCCACATGCCACGGAGCACCTGGGCCCGTGAGTCATGGCCGCTGAGCCTGCGCGTCCGGAGCCTGTGCTCCGCAATGGGAGAGGCCACAGCAGTGAGAAGCCCGCGTACCGCAAAAAAAAAAAAAAAAAAAAGAGGGAGTGGTATATCTGAAAAATAATGCAACTATTAGTGAATGCCTACTACATGCCAGGCACAGTACAAATCACTTTATATTCTTAACCTCAGGCAATATCCTATTATCATTGTATCCACTATTTTTATCGTAACTTGCCCAAGTTCACAGAGCAAGTAGGTGGCAGGTCTGCCTGATGCCAAAGCTGCTGCTCGCATCCACTGAAGCAGACTGCCTTCCAGTTCCCCACCCTTTTGTAACACCTGCGTCAGGAAAGCTTGAAGCACACAAGTGCAAATTGGCCACAATACGCCTCTCTTTCAACTGACCCCAATGCTAAGAGCACAGCACTCCCTGATAAAAATCACCATTTAAGGTTTAAATCTTTCAATAGCAGCAGTCATGTATTCCGTGCTTACTGTAGAGGGCACTGAGTTTTACATAATTGCCAGGAGGTCTGGTCTCTATTACCGCAAATGCTCCAACTCCTGGTCTTCGCATTGTCTGGTTTCTGACGTTTCTCCAATGCAGGATTTCCCACCCTCACTGGGAGGTGGGTTATTGCATTCTCGGCTCCTTGTTTTCTTCCCTTGAACGCAGGGGCCCCAAGAGGACCAGCAGCTCCACCCTCCATCAACCCCTCCTGTAAATAAGAGAGACATGGTTCAGAGAGTACTTGGAGAGGAAGATTTCAGAGTTCAGTGAGCTAAGCTTCCTACTATGTGGTTATTGGGGGAGGGGACGATCTGGGGTTTATTACCTTCACTCTGTTCACTGAGGTCTCCACGGTGGCCAGACTGTCTCTGCACACTGACTAGGATTGCCCGTATTAAGGCTGCATTAACGAACTTCTTGCAATACTACCTTAAATTTGTTTATTATTTTACAACGGTTTCAAAGCACTTTCACATGCATTTTATCATTCATTAATTCTCACAAGAACGAATGGAGGTGACCAAGAGGTCTGTTAACATTCTCAGTTGATAGGTGTGGAATCCAAGACAAAGTGGTTAAGTGATATGCACAATGCTGTACTGGTGGGCAAGAACCATATCCAGACTGTAACCTGGTCTTATGGCTGAGTCCAGGCTCTTTTTATCACCCCACAGTCTCTTAGTAAGGCAAATAAGTTCCTAATGTTAAAGCAGTGATTGGGCATGAGAAGAGCATAGTCTATTGCAGTGGTCCCCAACCTTTTTGGCACCAGGGACCGGTTTCATGGAAGACAATGTTTCCACAGACTGGGGAGGAGGGGACGGTTTGGGGATGATTCAAGAGCATCACATTTATTGTGCACTTTCTTTCTATTATTATTACATTGTAATATATAATGAAATAATTATACAACTCACCATAATGCAGAGTCAGTGGGAGCCCTGAGCTTGTTCTCACTTGCCACTCACTGATAGGGTTTTGATCTGAGTCTACAAGCAATTGATTTGTTATGGTCTCTGTGCAGTCGAACCTCTCTGCTAATGATGATTTGTATTTGCAGCCGCTCCCCAGCACTAGCATCTCCCCTTCAGCTCCCCCTCAGATCATTAAGCGTTAGATTCTCATAAGGAGCGCACAACCTAGATCCCTCACATGCACAGTTCATGCTGTGAGGGTTTGCACTCCAATGAGAATCTAATGCCGCTGCTGATCTGACCGGAGGCAGAGCTCAGGTGGTAATGAGAGCGATGGGGAGCAGCTGTAAATACAGATGAAGCTTCGCTCCCTCGCCTGCCACTCACCTCCTGCTGTGCAGCCCGGTTCCTAACAGGCCATGGACTGGTACTGGTCCATGGCCCGGGGGTTGGGGACCCCTGGTCTACTGGGTACTCCAGGTTGCCAACCCCAGGGCTGGTGCTGTACAAGATGAGGAAATATGTAAGTAGGAAAAATGCTTCTACCTCCTGTCAGCACCCTTCTTCAATCTACAGGCACCTCCTCAACTTGCTCTGGCCACCTTCCACCTCAGGGCTGGTTCACAGCTCACAGGTTTTAGTATTTTTCCCATCATATTCCTTGGAGGACATTAGAGAGAATTTGAAGCATATTCTAAGAGCTTTGCTTTCCTAGTTAGAAACTGATCTCAGGAACTATTCCGCCAAAGCATTACTTCTGATAATAGATGGGTGTGTTTACTGCTCCTTAGCTATTTCTACTGTGTGACCTACATCCCTCTTCCCTCCACAGCCACTCCTCAGTATCACACACAAAAAAACTAAAATAATTTTTCCCATGATCTTCCTTACCCTTTCTTCCACAATTAGAAATCGAGTTAATAATATAGTCCCCTGAGTATGTTAATAGTAGGTAATAAGAGCTTGAGGTATTATGACTGCTACTCCACTCATCACCAGCAGGGGGAGCTTCCATTTTATCAAATAGCTGTAAATCTAAGCCTCAAAGGAATGAATCGCAGTGGTGGCATTTTAGTTTACCAGGACAGGCCACTTGGGGAGACATTTGGAGGCAAGGATGCTTTCTTGATGCTTGTCTATAAGCAGCCGTGGTTTAGTCATGTACTTATTCATTTATCAAACATTTATTAAGTGACTTTATGAATCAAGCACTATGTCAGGCTGTGGGAATAAACAAAGGAATCAAACAGTTCCGAATTTAAGAAGTAAGCTTTCTAGAGGAGAGAGACACACAAATGAATATAAAAATAAATATACACAAATCATCTCATACTTTGCCTACTCATAAAGTGAACTTCACATACTAAATACTTAAAACACCAAATGCACTGTTGAGCACACAGCCAATGTTCAACAAATATTTGTGAATGATTGATTGGTGGGACATAACACAAAATAGAAATAGAGGTGTTTCCAAGAGCTTGCCACCAGAAAGGTTAGTCAGTGCAGACACAAGCTCTGTAGACCTAAGTTATGACAAAACCTTACTGAGGTGACTATGGAAGGATGGAAGGTGTTTCAGGCATAAATCTGTTCTAATGGAGAGTGGAGAGTAGAAGGCAGTTCTGTTAGTTCAGATGGGAAAATAGAGAGATAGCAAAGGACCCGACCTCAGTAGCTACAACTCGGAGGTGGAATAGGGAGGGAGAGACATATTCAAGGCCTTATGAGACTTGCCCTTCTCCATACCCGAGGAAGCACACTCTCAGAGGCCAGAGGGAAAGGGTAATTCCCTTTTCATTGTGTCCAGCATAACTTGAGAGAATGCAGCACACTGACCTGCTTGATCCCCTACGAGGGCTCCTTGTTCACACGCCACACCAAACGTGTATGGTTTGCAATGGCACTCACACTGGGTCCCCTTCACAGTGGCCATGCCACCATTTTGACAAGGCCGGCAATGACAGGGGTCAAATTCATCGAGATATTCCTCAATGGCCCGTTTCAGGTATAGCCTTTTCACAGAGGCACAGGGTACTTCCTTTACCAGCTCATACAAAGGTGTCAGCTACACAGATAAAGACATCACGGTCAGTAATCAGGGTTTGGAGCGAGAATATTTTCCTTTCAGCATTTTGGCTCAATCTCTACTAAAACAAAATCAAAAGCCACTCTTATCTTAATTCCAACTATTTCTTGTTCAAATAAAAAGAGAAAGCAATTCACTACCTTTACAAGACAAACCTAGGGAACATTAGAAACAGATAGGGAGGGAATATTTTTTTGTATTTTATGTGCATACATAAAATTTTAAAAAACCAACAGGATGTTCATTTTCTAGTTATTGAAAGATTATTTTGAAGACAACACATTTCCACTCCTGCAGAGGATAGAAGAAAAGGAAATGCACTTAAATTACAGTAAAGAAGCAAATGCAATTAAATTTGAGATTAAATATCCTGACTCTGAGATACTTAACATATCTCTAATGGAGACTATGATTCTCTATCCCTGAAGAAATTTAAAACAGGTAGGCATTATCGCTCTGTGTTGGACAGTTCTGATGAAGAGCAACTTCAAGACCGGAGATGGATTGGCTAAGCTCTAACAATCTGCTCTCCCAGGAACAAAAAGGCTCTCATTTGTAGCCTTTGCCAATTTCTGCAGTGTAACTACTCTCACCATGGCCAGTTTCAGGCTACCACCATGATGTCCCTGAGCACGGAGCTGGGAAGAGACCTGCACCATTGGCTCTTGAGAGAGTCTGAGTGAGTTGGCTAGAGCACCACTGCGAGTACGGAGATTAGCTCAAAGGGTCACATTGCCCTCCATCTCTGCCCAAGCTCTTCTGAACTGAACAGCATTGCATGGTTATCTACCTGTAACATGTCTCTTCTTTCTCTGTCCCTTTCCTGTCCAACTAATAAGTTAACATAGCTATGACAGTTACAGTCCTATGTGGGAAAGCACATAGTTGAGAATGGAAAAGAATGTCTGTTTTTTACCCTAAACAACAATTTAGGATTTTTAAAGATTTGTATGAGATACTGACAATGAAAATAGATCATTTTGAATATTAATGAATGACACTTTAAGGTAAGACTTCCCAGGAAAAACTGCCCCTCCCACTGTCACTGTTATTGGGACGCAACTGGGCTTAGTATGGTGTCAGGAGGGTACCTGAGGAGCACTCGTAACTTTTGAGTTTGTAAATGTGTCCAAGTTTCTTAATCTCAAAAGTCAGGTTGGGGCTTCCCTGGTGGCGCAGTGGTTGAGAGTCTGCCTGCCGATGCAGGGGATGCGGGTTCGTGTCCTGGTCTGGGAAGATCCCACATGCCGCAGAGCGGCTGGGCCCGTGAGCCGTGGCCGCTGAGCCTGCGTGTCCGGAGCCTGTGCTCCGCAGCTGGAGAGGCCACAACAGTGAGAGGCCCGTGTACCGCAAAAAAAAAAACCAAAAAAAAAACACGTCAGGTTGGACCTGGGACACTGCCTGACTCCTGTGGCAGGGAATAGATTATAGAATCACTTTTGCTATAACATGTATTTTGAAAATGTGAATTTGTTCCATTGAGAGTGAGATATTAAAAAATAAAATGAGTATATCATAAATTTTGTGTTTTCTTATGTACAATTTTGTCCATAAGAAACACGGGGTGAACACAGAAAACTGCACACAACTGAACCAAGCTGCATAAGAATACACAAAACACTCACACACAAGCACACATCTCAAACACCCATCTAGTTCACCACCTGTATAAGAAACCACACCAACCACAAATGGTGTTATGACTGTCGGTCATTTCTGATAGCGCTCCTTCTACCACTTCACAAGAATTCACAATCTGTAACCCTCCCATCACCCAGCAAGCTTCAGATCCTCTTCTAGGTAATGTGCCACCTTTATTGTAGTCCGTGCATTCCTTAACAATTAAACATGTATAAAACTGCTACTGTTTTTATTGGTGCCTCTTTTTTTTTTTAATGAGTGTCACAAAAGTTTTTGAGTGTTGTGTTCCTAACACATTTTTTCCCATAAGCCCTGTGGTCTTTATTGTGCAATTTTGCCTAGCTCTCTGATTTTTAGGAACACATATGTTGTGTTATAAAAGAACTGACTGTGCCAATAAAACATCCTAAAATTCTGCCAGCCAAATTGATTCTATCTTTTTAGAACTAATTTGCATGACCAGGAGCCTACAAGCCATGGCCACAGGAAGAAAGGTGATCTGACAAATGTAACACTAGGCAAGCCCTTAAATGCCTTCCTCTTGCAAGAATCTATAACTCCTCTAAATCAGGGACCAAGGAAAACATAATCAAATTTAGGTCAAAAGCTTGAAATGCAAATTTTAGCATTAATTTCTCTTGGGATTTACAAGACATTTAACCTTTACAACTGAAATATGGACACACAAGATAATGAAACTTGTTTCCTATTATGTATGCATTCATTTTACTATACAAAACATAACTGGGATACGGAAAACGCTAATTACAGCCTTCTCTGTTTAACCACCTTAATTTAATCTCATTTTCCCAGTGCAAATAAATATGACTGCTTTCTGGTGCTTTCAACAGAGTGTCACATACCTTTTGTTTTATGATTTGCGGAAGTTCAGTCACAGATCCTGCCCAGAGAGAATATCTCCATTTGTTTCCAGCAGGGTTGTCCAGTTCCAGGTAACTAAGGCCAGACACAAAGCCAGGACGTCCCCCTCTGACAAATGGGACCCCTCGTAACACATTGCCCTGAGTTCCTACTCAAGGAGAAATCAAACGAAATAAGTCTGGATGCACAAATGAAATGAGAATGAGCATATGAAATTGCAAGTCAATGAAGTAACACAACCCATTCAACTGTATGATATTCTGGAAAAGGCAAAACTATGGAGAGAGTAAAAATACCTGTGATTGCCAGGAAGTGGGGTAGGAGGGATTTTTAGTGGATTTTTAGGATCTTTAGAGGACTTTTAGAGCAGTGAAATTGCTCTGTATACTATAATGGATACATGTCATTATGCATTTCTCCGAACCCACAGAATGTACAAGAGTGAACCCTCATGTAAACTATGGACTTTGGGTGATTATTATGTGTCAGTGTAGGTTCATCAGTTGTAACAAATGGACCACTAAGGCCTGGATGCTGTTAACGGAGGAGGCTGTGCCTGCGGGGACAGCAGGGATATAGGGATTCTCTGTACTTTTTGCTCAATTGTTTTGTGAATCTAAAACTACTCAAAAAAATAATATCTATTAAGAGAGAAAAGAAAAAAGACACAACCATTATCTAACAGTAGATGATTATTAAGAAATTATTATTCATATTCTTAATGTTCTTAGTGTAAGAAGAAAATTTGTTATACAGGTGACTATCTTGTTTCTTAGAAGATACATGCATGTATTTAAGGATGAAACATCATGACATCTGAAACTTCCAAATGGTTCAGCAAATATCACAAATATTTTAAATATATATTTATGCATTGCTAAACAGTCAACATTATAAATACTATATGTAGATATATATATCAAAACATCAAAATAATAATTATTGCATGTAAGAGGTGGGTACGTTGGCGTTTTTTACTATGTTTTTTCAACTTTTCTGTATGTTTGAAAATTTTCATAAGAAAATGTTGGGAGGAAAAAGTTCATTGCATCTGGAATACTAACAGTAACCAAAATGCTATTAACAGGCATATATTAACACATAAAAAGTGTTCTAAAATGTTTGAATACTAATCAAATCCTTTTTCTCATTTCTGTGCCTTATAATTTCAGAAATATTTTCATCTCTGTGTCTAATTGATTTCCACACTGGTCACGACCGGAAGTTCCTAACTTGCTGATCAGACTTACGTTGATTTTCATTTCCTTTTTTTTAATTAAATTTTGCAATTTCATAACACTTTCATAAAATTTTGCAAATTCAAAAATTACACTTTTATCATCAGAAGTTATTAAAGTCTCATATTTTTAAAGAACTGCCTGAGTGCTTCCTCATCTTCCTTGTTAGTTACATTTTAAAATGCAAATAGTCACACTTTTAATGCAGTGTATTGCCAAGTTCAGTCCCTGAACTACTGGAATCAGAATCACCTAGAATGACTGCAGATTTCTGAGCTCCAGCCAAGACATAGGACGTAGCAGAGAGAAAAGTCAAGTACTCAGCATTTGAACAGGCTGCCCCAGGTGATCCTCTTGCATACCAAAATTTGAGAATCACCACCTAAACCGACATGCTTGTTTACAAACTACAGAGTCTAAGAAATCAGCTTTTATATTTATTTTTAAGCCTGTAGCCTCTCTCTCTACACCTCAGTGAGCTCTGTGCTCCAGCTGGCCCTCTTCCCGTAGACAATCAGCCTGGGGCAACAGTGAAGGGCCCAGATTGTGAAGCTAGACATTGGAATCTTGTGCCTGACCCCAACTGTGGTCTTGGGCAACCTTTCTGTGCCTCAGTGTCCCTGTCGGTAAAATGGAAATATGAATAATACCCAGTTCTTAGGTAGGAGTACATTGGTTAATTTTTGTAAATCACTTAAAATTGTGCTGGGCACATCATAAGTGCTACATGTTTGTTAAACATAAAATAAAATAAGATAAAACAAAGCAAAATTAAAATAAAATAAAATCAGAAAGCAGCTTCCAATCACCAGCCCAACTGATAACTGATGTCAACAACTTCTCAAAGCTCCCACTTTCATTTCTATTTCCAGATCAGTGTATTTCCATGTTGTTCAAAAACTCGTCCTCCTCCTTTGTCATGTCAGGTCCAAGAAGACAGGCACTTTTCCTGGCATATTCACTGCTGTATCACCAGTGCCTAGAACAATTTCTGCGTGCACTATAGGTTCCGTAAATAGTTGATGAATAAAGTAAGTGAATGAGGAATTAAGCCTGGCTTAACACTCTGTCTCCCTCCTTTTTGCAGTCATCTACTAAAGGATCCTCACTTCCTCGATGAGGACTTTAGCACCTGGGTCAGTCTTCTCCTTCATCCCAATTTCTGCCATCACCCCAAGAGAACTTGAGCTCTAATGCTGCTCCATGGCTTCACACAATGCACCACAGTCTCATTTCCATCCCTACTACACTAAGAATCTCTTCATTTTAAGGCAATTACGTCTTAATCACCAAATCCAATGAAGTCTTCAGACCTCCTCTTATGTCACTTCGCTGTAGCATTTCTCGCTGTCGATTTCTTCTCCTCTACCTTCCATGTTACTCATCTTTTCTGGTTCTTATCCTATCAGATTATTCCTTTTCAGTCCCTCTTCTTTCGCTGCAACTTTATATTTGTCATCTTTCATTTAATCACTCCCTGTATTAACGGCATCCCTTGCCATCAGGATGAAACCCAAACTCCCTAACACGGCATCTAGACACAGTCTAAATCAGCTTACCCTTCCAGTTCCTTCTTCAATCACTCAAGGCTAACACACCACCTCCCGCACTCTGCCACCACCGTCACCACCACCACCATGCACCAAAAACTTCTAACTGCACTGAGCACCCATGTCACAGGGTGAAACTGAAGCTTCTCCTCTTGCTGTCATTTTTCTAGGCTTGTTTGTCAACCTTCCTCACAGGAAACAAAGATGGTGTTCACTGAGGACATAGTTACAGTACACAGAGGTACCCAGTGAAGTTTCCACTCTGCATGATGGATCACCGCCATGACATATGACAGAGAGATCAGAGGTAAAAATAACCAAGTATTTCAAAAACACAAAATAGAACACCCGCTAGAATTTCAAAGGCCCTTGGAGACCAGGAATTAACCACAAGAAAGAGGGATGGAGGTAAGTTTGTAATGAAAATTACCCCCTTCTCACTTACCTGCAGCCGATTTTAAGGCCTCTTCCATCTCCTTGCATGCGTGCTCTGATGATTTAAACAAAAACTTGATATGTGAGGAAGCACATTTCTTCTTCTTCTCTGAACCAAAAGCTGGGGGGAAAAATTTTAAAGGTGCTTAGTTTCCACATTTGTTGAAAATCTCCTTTGAGATGCTGGCCAGGTGTGAGAGTGGCATAAGAGGTTGTTTCCTATCACTGGGGCCATATAATCAAAAATATGCTATACGTACATGTTCAAGTGCTCTAGAAGGGTCAAGGGGCAGAAAAAGTGATATTTGATGTTTGTTATAAACAAAATAAGATACATGCATTATATTTAGGGGTAAAGCATCACATGTCTGAAAATTACATTCAAATGGATCAGCTGCTCTTGGCTTCTATTAACTTTGACCAGAGGGTGGGGGTGGGTGAAACAGTGGAGGGAGCAAAAACTGAGCACTTCACAGAGTGATACCTTTTACCCAACTGCAGTCAGCTTCTCAGGCATAAGGCAAATAGGTAAAAGTAGATGTGCAATGGCCTCCAGCCCACCCACGGGAGACCCCAAAAGCTGGGTTCTGGTTCTACAGCAATTAATTCCTAAAATCTTAGTTCTAGTGCCTCAGTCTCTCCATCTTTAACATCTCCGGTTTCTACATTTTCTTCCTATGACATATAATCTTAGATGGTTACAATTTCTACTCATTATCAAATGGAGTTTTGCCAATGCATTTTTTTAAAAGAGGATAGAAAATAATAAAGGGTACAAATATATTTTTATATAATTTTACTAACTATATTATTACAAACTCAGTATTTCTTAAAGAACAATTGGGGGCATATAACATATCCCAGAATCCTTGATTAATTTCACTTAAAACTTTTAAGAATAAAAACTGCTCAAGAGTAAAATTTTTACTCAAAATTTTTTTACCAACTCAGAAAGCTTAAAAAAAAAATCCTCTTCGTTTCTTTTTAAGCGTTAAAGAAAAAAAAAAATGGTCATGAAACTGAGTTTAGATCAAGCCCCTTTCTGGATTAATTCCTCAAAGAAATATTCCCTCTGTTGTTGCTACACAAACCTGTGCTTGTGCATTCATTCCCAACCTGCTGAGGTTGGAAAAGCTCACATTCTAATTAAATCTTAATTGGTAAAAATTAAGCCCAATAGAAAAAAAAAATAGTCAATGGAAACACAGAAAAATATTGTAGTTCACTCACAAGAGAAGGCTACAAGACCTCCTCTGAATCTCAGGTAAGCAGTCTTACTCTCCTTCAAGGTGGTAAGAAAGTCTCGACTGAAGAGTAAGATGCTAACAAGATGATTTGGGATAGAGAAGCAAGTGTGGCCACGAGCTTCAGGACAAAGTTGGAAAGGAGCAGGTTGGACTTGGAACGTAAATAAGCCAAAAGGTCTCTGGAAAGGAGGAATGGATACTAGGACACACACTCTTCTCCAACATGGCAGCAGCTGGTGAGGAACATCCTCTCACTGTGAAGTCAACCAAGTATGAACTCAGTAGCGTGCCCTGAGTCTAACAAAAAGCAGGCAATTCCTGCAGCAACATAGCGTAAGGAAAAAGCTAAGTTGATGCTGGAGCCAGTTAGACCGGCCTACAATCAGTATGCCCTTGGATTTCACTCGGTAGCAGTGAGGATTATTGCTAACATAGGCAACCTGCCTGTCTAGAAGAAGGCATCCAATAAATTTAAGCTATTGTTACAACTTTTAGGGAGTAAGCAAACTCACGATATCCAGAGCAGATTTTTTTAAAAGGAATGTGAGTGGTAAAGAACAGAGGTAAATAAGAAAAGACTTCATTGAAACGTTTTGATTTCTGCAATATCAGTAAACTCCTCATTAGTTTTCCTCGAGGAATATTACTTAATCTGAGAAACGGGGAAGATTAAAAAGTATTCTAAAAATCCAGTCAACACCCTCTAGAGATAGCAATAATGATAATGGCTTAACTCTCACTTCAGGGTACTATCCAAACGAGTAGGCAGGCTTTTTCTTAAACCCTGGAAGATTCTGAGTAGAGTATAACAGATTCTTGCAATTTTGGATTCTTTTGCAATTTAATCTCTATTTGTCATATTTCAAAGCTCTAAAGTTTAACTACTAATTAAAATCTCTGCGATGCTTGTATATAACAATATTTTTAATACTCTACCGCTTTGTTTGATTTTTTCTGAGTCCAAATAAAAGATAACTTTGTATTCTCCTCCTAAGGACCCAGACTGAAGATAATGTGTCCCATACTGGTCGATCAGTCTTCGATAGGCGCTGTAATCATACAGAGACGGAAGGTAGGAGAGTTCCTTCCAGAATGACTCAGCAAGTTGTAAAAAGTCCGGATTGTTATTGATAAACTGAGCCACTTCAACAGTGTTCTGAAGAACCAACAACTGATAACTCTATAGGAAGAAGAAAGAGTAAAAGGAGTTTTAGGATGAAGACTAAAAGGCAATGGAAATAGTTCCTTGTCCAATGTCTCCATCAATAGCCACCTCCATCAATGCAGACTAAATGAATTTTTATTTTGGATGCATAATGAGGTCTCTTCTGGGCCCACCCACTTGAAGCAATCTAAGGAATTTTCAGAATCCCAAACAGAAATAACATCTGAGTGATGACATGGTAACTGGTTTTATACACACCTTTTAAAACCCCCAAGACCAAGTTGTTATGCCCTCCTCAACTAGGAAAAAAGATTCAACATTGTTAACTGCTAAATAATCTCACAAACAGGGATATAATATCCCTAGAGTCCACAATCGTAACAATGACTTATAGGTAAGGTGACCATATAATTTATCTCCCATACTGGAGTATTTACAGGGTAAGCTACTTTATAATGAGGTCTTTAAACCCTTCCTAAGCATCTTTTCATGTCCAAGACAGAGCTACCTTACACCAAATCCTCACTTATGTGAACAATATAATATGGGTATAATAAATGTTTTTACAGCTCATATTTCCACAATCAACTTCTTAGTCATAAAACAAAATTATATTCCTTTATACCTCGCTTATGTGATCTATTAATCAAGTTACTGACTTTAAGAATGAGATGAATTATGTATATTATGAATGATGATCAGCCTGAAAAATTCTTCAGCAGTAAGTGTGAATCAATTAGAACAATTCCTTTCAACTGTTCAGGTTGCCCATGATGAAAGTTTTAGTATCTCAGTACAACAGAGTATCTAAAATTAAGGCTTTTAACCTCCTCGGATGAAAATGTTGGTATCTCCAAAGTAATAAAGTATTTTAACATCTTTTATTTTCATGCACCTTCTTTAAAAAACTCTAGTATTAGTGTTTCGGAAGCACATTTCATTGGATTTTTGAAATTGTATATAATACTTAAAATAGTAGCATCAGTAATCATGAATTAGAGATTTAGGCTAGTTTTAACTAGAAGATTTGAAAGTAATAAGTTTTTTTTTAGATTTTTAAATAAGAACAGATACTTCAATGAGAAAATAAAAAGTGTAAATAAATGTATTATCAAAGAGAATTAACAAGACAAAAACCATACCTTTTAAAGAAATATATTGGATTATCTCTTTGAAGAAGATACTATGCCCTAATTAAAAAATGAAAGCTGATTCTTTTAGTAAATGCACTTCTGTTAATGTTAGAAATACCTAAACCAGTAAAATATGGAAAAGTTAACTAATATATTTCATACTAACCTTTTCCTTAAGGATTTTTTCAGTACCTGCAGAGTAACTGTACGAAGAAGATGAAGAACTAAAAAAGAGGAAGCGTCCTCGACTAGATGATGAATGTTCTGTTGATGTATGTTTTACATAAGACCAGGTACTATTGTAAAATTCATAATTAAAATCATTATTTATTTTCACCTATAAAGAAAATGAAAAAGTTAGATCTCTGGGGCTTTGTTTTTGAAATGTTCTATGTGATCCAGTAGTGGATTTAAATTTCTAATTCTGTTCGACTTGAACAAATGTTAAGATTGGAATTGTTTTTCCTATGCTAGACGGTAGAAGAAAAAGTCATCCCAAACAAATTTAAAAACAGACAACAGGATAGTCACATGTGGTTGAGAAGGGACAGCTCCAGCATTCATGAAGACTACTATTTCTTTATCCTTTATTTTGTCCTAGATCAAGTGTCAAAATGAAATGCCCACAGAGGACTGGCAAGTAATATAAATGTTGGAAGCATCCAGTGGAAGGCGGGGTAATGAAGAAGTGAGCACACACCCTGTCTAAAAGGGTCTAAAAGGTACCCAACACTCAAATCCATCCGACAGTCCTATACATTACTACAGGTTCTAGCACTGACAGATATCTGATTTTTCAAGAAAAGAGATATATCTGAATCTTCATGAAAAAATCTTAAGTTTTTTTTAAATCATAGGCAACTATCTTGCTAAAAATGTCAGTCACCATGAGAATAAAACAACATGAAATATGACTCTCAGTCTGTTCTATATAAATATTCAGATCAGTAACTCTCCTTTCACAAGTATTTGTGTTTTTATTATATGTCCATACACATCTGTATTTGAGATCAAAGTATAAATAAACACAGAGAAAATTTAAATGATGAATATGATACATTTTAAAAATAAAGCTAAAATCTAAAAAAGAGTGAACACATGTATATGTATAACAGATTCACTTTGCTGTACACCTGAAATTAACACAACATTGTAAATCAACTATACCCCAATAAAAATTTTTTTTTAAATGCTAAAAAGAAAATAGAATATTATGCAGCCATCGTAAAGGATGAGTGTGAGGACAAATTGTTCATGTTAAATGAAAAAGCAAGTGTAAATGTGATATTTACAAATCCTATTAACCACAAATATGCAAGTATATGCCCAGTCAAAAAAAGACTAGAAGGAAATTCAACAAAATGCCAGAAAATATTAAAAATACTTTCATCACTACCCATGTTAAAAATTAGGCATTCATGCTAGAAGAAAGACAGAAGAGAAGAAAAAATAGATTTAACCATACCTTTTATTCCAACATTATTTTCATTATATTATGAAATTGGCTTGTTTAAAAGTCAAACGCAAAAATTCAGCTCAAGTCAAAATGAAGAATATATTATTATTCTTAACTCAACGAGGACATTATTATTATTGAATACAAAGAGGACATTATTTTTTTTAATTACTTTATTTAATTAATTAATTTATTTATTTTTTTGCAGCACGCGGGCCTCTCACTGACGCGGCCTCTCCCGTTGCGGAGCACAGGCTCCTGACGCGCAGGCTCAGCGGCCATGGCTCACGGGCCCAGCCGCTCCGCGGCATGTGGGATCCTCCCGGACCGGGGCACGAATGGGGCTTCCCTGGTGGCACAGTGGTTGAGAGTCCGCCTGCCGATGCAGGCGACACGGGTTCGTGCCCCGGTCCGAGAGGATCCCACATGCCGCGGAACGGCTGGGCCCATGGCCGCCCCGTGAGCCATGGCCGCGCGTCAGGCGCGCGTCAGGAGCCTGTGCTCCGCAACGGGAGAGGCCAGGTCAGTGAGAGGCCCGCGTACCGCAAAAATAATAATAAATAAATAAATAAATAAATAAAAATGTACTAGAGATTTCTAGAGTCACTAGATAGTGTCTCAGTCCTATTTGGTTTTGGACACACACAGAATTTAGTTTTTTCTCTCAAGAAAGAAAAGTTACCTACCTTTCTTTCAATGCAAAAAAAAAAAAAATTAGCCTATTTTTTTCTCTTCTTCAGGTGTACAATTCAAATACTTGATTCATGATTTATGCAGATAAGCCTCTTAAGAACTTTAGTTCAGCGTCTCCTCACTCCCATGTACTCTACACATAGCCACAGAATCCTTTCTCAAGGTAGTGTGATCTTAAATTTTCTTTAATACCCTCTTCCTTCCAGCTAAGATCCTGAAATTTCCCCACACTGAGTCTTCCTCTGAAGTCACAAATTCAAACATCCTGCACTCTGACATCTCTTACTCTGTTGACACTCATTCTATTATTGCCATATCTATTATTCAACCTCATAGAGACAGCCCTTCAACTTACTTTCCCTTCTCTTTCCCTATCAGCACCTTCATTTTGTCACTTCCTTCATGTTGTAGTTATGCTTCATGGCTCATGACTTATTATTCTCTTGCCAATGAACCTAACTCCTGCCAATGAACCTTGCCTAGGTATATTCTGCCACCATATTTGCCAGGCAAAAACTCAACCTTTGTTCAGTGCTCGCAGCCAGGCACCTTAGCACTGCTATAGAAAAATCACACAACTATCGACTGGTGTTACTGTAAGTCCATTCATAATTTCCAACCTCAGTGGAATCCTCAATACATTCCAGCAACCCTAAATGTCTAGCCAATTCTTTCTCCCATTCCCTACAGTATCTATTTCAAAAGTTCTGCACCCATCTCAATCCCCCAATCTTACAATCATTTCCTTCACTCTCAGAAGATAAATTTCTTTCTTTACAAACGTTCCCACTATCAGACACAGACTTCTTACACTTCTGGCTAACAAATTTACAGACTTGCGAATGTCTTTCACTTCCTTTCCTGTGCAGGTGTTCCGCCCCCTGTCTAAGGCTAATTTCTCTGTCTTTTTTCTGTATTGCATTCCCTCTCACCTCTTTTTTTTTTTTTTAACATCTTTATTGGAGTATAATTGCTTTACAATGATGTGTTAGTTTCTGCTTTACAACAAAATGAATCAGTTATATATATACGTATGTTCCCATATCTCCTCCCTCTTGCGTCTCCCTCCCTCCCACCCTCCCTATCCCACCCTTCCAGGCGATCACAAAGCACCAAGCTAATCTCCCTGAGCTATGCGGCTGCTTCCCACTAGCTATCTACCTTATTACCTTTGCTAGTGTGTATATGTCCATGCCTTTCTCTCGCTTTGTCACAGCTTACACTTCCCCCTCCCCATATCCTCAAGTCCATTCTCTAGTAGGTCTGTGTCTTTATTCCTGTCTTACCCCTAGGTTCTTCATGACATTTTTTTTTTCTTAACCCTCTCGCCTCTTCAAAGGACTAATTAAATTGACTGATTACTCCCTGTCTTACAGCTTCAACTTTTCTTTCTCTACTGGCTCATTCCTATCAACGCTTATACATATTCTAACCCCACCTAAGTACAGTGTGCTGCAAGGGCTCTGAGCCACACTTCTAGGGTTCAGACCCCATAGTTGTCGTCTACTACCTCTGTGATTGTAGGTAAATTACTCAGCATTCTTTTTTTTTTTTTGTGAGCCCAGCCGCTCCCGGCATGTGGGATCCTCCCGGACCGGGGCAGAACCCGCGTCCCCTGCATCAGCAGGCAGACTCTCAACCACTGTGCCACCAGGGAAGCCCCTACTAAGCATTCTTTGTCTCAGTTTCCTCATCTGTAAAAATAGTAGATGACAGTACCTACATACTTAGGTTATTATTAAAAAAAAGTTCTATTTAAAGCACTTGAAACGTGCTTAGTATATAAAAGGTTCTTAATATATGTGAGCTACTTTTATTATCATTCAAATTATTTTCTGTTAACAAAGTAGATTTAGAAATCTCAGATATCTAGACACATACCAACAGAGGAAGCAGAGGATCAGATAACTAAACATTAGTTAAAATTGCCTTTAGAATACGTTTTTGTTATTCATTTGATATACATATAGGATCTTGCTTTAAAAAATATAATGAAGTATACTAAGTGAACTAAATCAGAGAAAAACAAACATCACATATCATTTATATGCGGAATGTAAAAAAAGGATACAAATGAACTTGTTTACAAAACAGAAACAGACTCACAGACATAGAAAACAAACTTATGGTTACCAAAGGGGAAGGAGAGGGAGGGATAAATTAGGAGTTTGGGATTAGCAGATACAAACTACTATTTATAAAATAGATAAACAACAAGGTCCTACTGTATAGCACAGGGAACTATATTCAATATCTTGTAATAAACTGTAATGGAAAAGACTCTGAAAAAGAATATATATATCTGAATCACTTTGCTGTACATCAGAAACTAATACAACATTGTAAATCAATAAAAATTTTTTAATATAATGAATTACATTCAAGATCAAAACAGGAGGATCCAGGAAGTTATTTTCTCCACCTTAATCTTTACTCACTCCCATCTGCAACTCATTACATGCTGAGAATAAACAAGACAGTCTTTCAGCATCTCCCAGGCTAAACTAAGCAGGGTGGCACTTTCCCAAAGTGACCGTGGAGCTGGAATGTGCTTATGTTTCAAAGGCTTCCTTGTGGTATGAAAAGTATGAGCAAACAGAGAGTGTGCATGGCATCAAAGTAAGTGACTTAATAAGCAACTGGGTTTGTCCTGGGTAAACCACCATGCTGATTTCCAAAACAGAGATTAGAAGAGAGATGGACTGATTATTCTGTTTTATGTTTATTTACTAACATTTATGTTCCAACAAGCCAAAAGTCATGTTCCACCTGTAGAGGCCTGAATCCCCAGTGGCTCCCCTTCTATTTGAACTGAGGAGGACATTGAACGCCTCCATATTCGCACCTGGGTTTCCCACTGCAGTGACTGACTCACTGCCTATTGCCTCCACCTCACTTCCCTTCGGCTGGATCCTAAATCACAGGCTATAATTTCCCTCTACCTCTGACAAACACCTTCACATTCAGTGACTGGCAAGGCATTTCAGATGTCAATCCAAAAACCAAGCCATGCTGTAGAAGACGAACGTCAGAATTATGCTTTTATTAAATTATTTTTCTTCTTCAGAAGCTGCAGGTTTCCAGCATGTCTCCTTTCCAACCATGTCAGAAATTCTCTCCCTTATTACCTCCTCTGTTCTGTAACTTTCTAAATTTGACTACATACACACACACACACACACACACACACACACATATATATGCATATATATATACATATATGCAATTCTCCCCCTTATAATTATGAAAGAATTATCAACACATCCTCTTAGTAATATGAGGAGAAAAAATTCTCTTTATATGCCTATCTCACATTCTCCCTTCTGGCCAAAGGGTAAATTACAATATAGGTTTTTCACCAAGCAGAATTTAGAGTCAAAAAAGCAGTTAATACAACACATTGGGAGAGTAAAATATACTAGAAAAATGAAGGGCTGTGAAATCTGACAGACTGGATCCAAGCTCTACTGCTTATTGATTTGGTGACTTGAAGCAAGTCTGCTGAAGTCCTCTGAGCCTCAATTTCTATATATATAAAACAGTAAAATATTACTTACTTTCCACAGATGTCGTGAGGATTAAAATTACACAAATTGCCTAAAATAGTGCAGATGCCACAGGAAATATTCAAAAATTGGTAGCTATGATTATTTTTCAAGTCAGTTCCACTTTCTACTTTCATGATTCAGTAACTCTTAAATGTAATTTAATTCCATTATAAGTCGGAGGTTGGTGGGTTTGCTCCTCATAATCAGAACTGCTTTCTGAAGATGACTAATGTTGGTAAACTAAAGCCCCTTCCTTCTGAATATCCTAATAGTTTTGGTTTACAAATTTGGGAGTCATCAGTAAGGAGGGCTGAACTGGAAATTTCTGAGCTCTGGGAAGATGGGAGGAAAGGCATGAGAGAGGAGATCTTGGAAGAGATGAGCAAGAAAGAGGCTAAAACAGGATGAGACCAGAAACTTCTTTTGGCTTCGGTTGTGGAAGGACAGACAATTTAAGATAGAGGATCTCAACTGTTTTCGTCGGATGCATTGGCACTGTGAGGTAGACAATCTCTCCTCTATGTTCCCTCTAAATCTTCAGGAATTTCCCCTAAAGCCATTACTGTTTTGTGTGAGGAGATTTTGTGTTGAAATCAATCAACAGGATGAGTTTACGTGTGTATGACAGAAACAGCCTGCAAGAAGCAGAAGCCTGCAGAGGAAACCTTGAGACCATAAACAAAATTTTAAAGTGTGGCAGTGTGGATGCGGGCAAGGATGTGGAACACAGGCCACTCTTCCACACTGCTGGTGGGGTATAGATTGGTCATATATAGGTTTTGGAAACTTTAGTGAAGTGTAACCTAAACATAGCCTACAAAGCAGCAATTCGAGTTCCTGGTGTCTGCACTAGAGAAGCTCATTTGTATGATTAATACAAAATATAAGATAGTGGTTGTATGGGCAGTACAGGTAGAGAAGATGTGACAGAGAGAGGTAGATAGGAGCCTTTAAGTCACGGGTAATATTCTATTTCTTGAGGTGGGTGGTGGGCATATATAGTCCTGTTTGTATTATTAGTTTTCTCCAAACTGCAAGTATATGTTATTCACAGCATTTTGTACGTAGAAATATTTCATAATTAAAAAAAAAACATTTTTAAGTAAGGTGACACTGTGGCAGTGGTTAGAAGACTATCACAACCAGTCATGAGCAGGGCCTTGGGTTTTAACACCCACACAGGGACAGACCATCAGGTTCTAGACCCACATGGAGTATGGAGTTCAAAATGAGACAATGGATATTTCAGCTTGAATGACATAAATTAAAAGTATCATTGCCCTATAACACAGATTTAAAGAATATATATTCCTAAATAGTGAATGTAACATAAAAGAAGAAGACTCACAGATATAGAGAACAAACTGGTGGAAAGGAGGGGGGCAATATAGGGGTGAGGGGGTGGGAGGTACACACCACTGTGTGTAAGATGGGCTCAAGGATGTATTGTACAACACGGGGAATAGAGCCAATATTTTGCAGTAACTGTAAATGGAAAGTAAGCTTTAAAAATTGTATTAAAAAACTTTAAGAATAAATAAAACATTTCTTAAAAAAAGAAAATGTATTCTTTTTAAGCCTATATAAGACATTTCTAAGAATTGACCACATATGAGGCCACAAGTAAATTCTCAACAAAATACCCAAAAAAATCAATATCATATAAATAACGATCTCTGGCAACAATTCACAGATTAGAAAGAAATCAAATCAATGTAATTAAGTACCTGGAATGTATAGGAGAGGATATTTCCGCTCAGTCTGTAGAAATCTCTCCCATCCCCGCTAAACACCTTTCTGCACTGACCACCAAAACTTTTAGTGTTGAGGACTTTGTTCCTAAACTGGCCTGTGAGCGCATTGTAACTGTTTTTAAAAAAATGAAAGAAGAAAAGGCTGTTAAAAACTAGAAACACCACTTGCTGAAACAGGCATCATTAGAGAACTCTAGATATTCTTGAAATACATTACAGTTAAACATCTCTGGGAGAGCTCAAATAAAAAGCCTCCTAGAGCACACTATGCATTACCCAACTCCCCCTGCTTGCTATAATGGTTAAAACTAATAGCTGGGGAAACCCAACATCCTTTTAGCCTAAGAACTTATTTAGGAAACACACAGCCCTTTTGTATCTATGGCAACAGCTGGTTTTGAATTGAATCTATAGAAAAAACCAAACAATTAAGATTACTCTTGAAGAGAGAGAACTCTCTACAATGATTTACAACTAGTCGGCCTCTTAGCATGCTAACTGGTATACTCTATAAAGTAACTTTACCATTTTTCCATTAATGAATTTCATAGTAGTATAGAAAAATCACATCTAAGCAAAGAGATTATCTTAAAACCTTAAAACTTTAACTTGGGTCTGACCGTTAAAAGTTTTTCAGAATTCTTTTTAAAAAGGCTAACAGGATTGCCTCAACTTCACTTGAAAGTTCCCAGCTAGTTTAGGTGATTACTTTTCAGTCTGAGTGTTCCAACACACTTTCTCTCTTCTTCCGCTGCTCTCATTCTGTTGTCTCTTCGTTCCCTTAAGTAGCCCCACATCATTGAATTAGTTCTCCCCCCTTCCCTCCCATAGGGGGACTGACTGGCCAGGATTTCCCAGGTCTGAAGGATTTCCTTAGATGCAGGACTTTCAGTGCTAAACCCAACAGTCCAGGGACAACTTGTCCCTCTATGCTTTACCACATATATTTACAGGTATATAGATAGGAATTTTTAAATTGTTTCAGGATGTGGCAAAGAGCTCTAAGCAAAGTCTTGACTATTAGGTGATTTGTTATTAGACTTACCAAACCACAAAATAAAACACAACAAAATAAAAACTACAACCCATCGATGTGTACAGGAAGACACCCAACACCTTACCCCTGTCCAGTAAGTTCTATGTTGGGAGGAGGTTTATCGAGGTCACAGGAAGGCCTGCTTTCTGAGTCCTCACACCTGTCTTCATCAGCACTGTCCTCTTCACAGTCAGAATCCCCATTGCAAACCAAAGATCTGCTGATGCACTGACCTGAACACAAGAAAAGCCACCACACAAAAATAAAAGAGGTGAAAAGGAAAACGCTACCTGGGATCAAAAGATTTCACCCTGGACCCTCAACACAACACTGATACTCTAATGTGAGTTTGAGATACACCCTCAGTGCCCAGGGAAGGACTGCTGATTATTTTGGTCCTCATTTTTCAACATGCAAATTGATTCTGACCTTGGCTGGACACAAAATTGACAATAGAACCTGAATTCAAATTCCAGGCTCTCACCCATAGCTATCAAGCACTTGGTCTGAATTCTCCAAAATCACTCAATGCCAATCAATCACTGGGAAGACAGACTGACTTCCTGCCCTTCAGCTTTCCATTGCTCTTCTGTAATCACTGACCAAGATGCCAAAGTGCTGTCTTTGTTTGAGAGCATGAGAACTGGATTAAAAGATTAAAATTCGACATTTCTTTAGCACCTTCTCTGTTCAGGACACTCTTGGGTGTTGGGATACAAATATGAATAAAAAGGGTATTCACCAGGGTTTTCATATACTTTACAATCTAATAGGAAAGAGTATGAAGTTAGATCATTACAATTCAGCAATGTAATTGTTGTGATAGATATAAGCCCAGGGTACCAGAAGCACAAGGAAGCACTAGAGGGTACCAGATGATCTAGCCCCGGCCTCCCTCCGCATTATATCCAACCATTCTCTTACTAGCTTCCTACGCCCTAGTCATACTGGATCACTTACATAAATCAAAGACCAACCTTTTTGCCATCTCCACTGACTTTGCACCTACAGTTCTTCAAAAATCAAATCACACATTACCTCCTCTCAGAAACCACCCTTGCCCCACAAGCTACAATGTATGCCCTTCATTTGTGCCCTTATAGTATGCATGGCACAAAACTGTCCTGATAGCACATCCCACTATGCGGTCACTTGATCCAATGCAGCAAACATTTGTTGAGAGTCTACTGTGTACCACACACTCCAGGTGCAAAAATAAAAGAAATATAATACACACCTTCAAGGAGTTCAGTCTACCAAAAGATATCCAGGGCAACAAATACTTCAGATTACAGATGATACAATGTACATAGAGAACACAGAAAAGTAATCTGTTAAATAGCTCTATCAGTTGGGCTTTTAGGATAGGTCTCCCTAAGGCGGCATCATCTGATTTGGGTTTTGAAAGTACAATAGGAGTTTGACAGGTATTGTTAAAAAACACGTCTAACACAGGAAATATTTATGTACTATTTTGCCCACAAAACTTTAAGAATTTTGAGGGAAGAGGCTATGTGTTTCATTCTACAACCCTCATTTCTGTATCTGGAACATAACAAGAATAATAAATGTTTGCTAAAAGTTGTTGAATTAACCTTTCTGCACAAATGCAACATAGACAATAGGTCAAATATTATTCAATCCAAAACTGTTTCATTTCCCCATGCATAGAGATGACCCGTATTGCTCCTTGATTAACTAATTAGAGTTGCTTTTCTTGTAAAAATAAAAATAATTTGGGCAGTAATATTGTTTTTGCCCAATTTCAGTCTTCATTCCAGACTCATTCCACATCTTCACCAAAAATGCAATGTCAAGAACTGCTTGGGTCTGTCAATAGCCATATTTCTTTTTCAAAGAAGCAAAGAGTATCCCCACCTTTATTACCAGATGACACCCATGCATTTAAAAGAATGACAGTTAAGTGTGTAACTAATATGCCAATAAAAATCCAACTGATTTGGGGGAAAATTAACTTATAGGCTAATATAAAAGCAGTACAATTCAACAAATACATACTGAGCAAATTAAACAAATAGCATTTGAACTTACACTCTGCGTGCCGAACCTATGGGAAGCAAATACCTGAAAAACACCTGAAACGTTCTCCACATCCCTCTTCTGTTGGACATCCTCGTGTAGGTTCACACGATTGTGGTTCAAAAGCACTTCCAACACAGGGATGGCCGCCATACTGCCCATAAACAGCAACTGACCGCCTGCGAGTCTAAAGACAAACCAAATAGCTTTTCAATATCTCCAGTTTCCTTTATCTGAGAAATAAAATCTGGGATAAATTAATACAATTGGAGAAATAATGTTTGTAAAATTGTTCTGGTGTACTACAGGAGTAAAGCCTACAAAATCAATGCACCCAGAAACCCACTTGTCTTTGAGTACAGTGACACTTGGGTTATTATTTATAGAGCACTCCCAGTTATATATTTACTCTTAGGGTTGAATGAAAAAAAAATTAGTGAATCTTTAAGAAAGTATGCTGGATAGACCAGATCACAACACAAAATGACTAATTTTTTGCCAAAGCAATGTACCAAGAGCTAATTAGAAAAGGTGAAGTGAATTTTGCTGGAGAAAGAGTAAGCATATTGGGAAGGGAAGTTAAGATGAACAGGAGTAAGGGAGACCTTTAGAAAAGTGGTGGTAATTAATTTGAGCTGAGCCTTAAGCCTTCTTCAGGAAGGCAAGGTGAGGCAAAACAATCCAGAGAGACATATATGCTAACATGGAAGTCAAATTTACAAAACAGAAGCCTAAGTGGTCCACAGGTGAAGGTACATCTACAGTGATACTTTACTGGACAACCAAAATTACTGACCTCTGAAATGGGAAAGATGTCAAAGGCCTATCTTAGGGTGGGGTGAGGTAGGAGGGGGTAGAAAAAAATTTGAGGAAATCTCTAAGGCAAATGAGAAAACTAATTCATTCTACAATTCATTTACTCAATATGAAGACATGTATCTAATGTTTAAACAAAAAGAGAGATCTGCAAAATCATTTTCCTCCCCAAAGGCAATCAAAGGTGCATCTTTTAAGCCTCTTCCTAAACTCAACTCTTACCAGTTAATAAAAATGGACAAAATCTGAAATTCCAGAGAATTTAAACCTTTAGCAACAGGGAAGACTAGATATACAAATCAAAGTTGAATCTATTCATTCATCCTAAATTGGAACAAAGGGTCACAGATATGTAATTTGAACTCTGAGCAGGTTTGCAACAGCCTGGGGCTTTCATTGCGTCTAAGCAGAGGAGTCATAGAGGAGTATGAGTGAGGAATGGAACTCAGTACAGTTTCTTAGTAAGTTTTTAGTTTCTGTATTTAATTGATGAAGACACCTCTTATACGTGGCTTAGTAACATTGTGCTTTTCTGAAGTTCCAAAGCATAGATTGCGTTGTCGTATAAGTAATGTTTTCCTTCTCCATAGACACCAGGATGACCTTGATGGCTGTCTGCTCTCAGGGTCTCATTCTCACCTATCAAATTCTGATCTTATGACCCCTTTTTCATTTTCACTTGTCTTCTTCTGGGTGAAAATTCTGTTTTTATAATCTAAGCATGATGACCTTCACACAAAAAAATTACTCATATGAAAAATACCTTCGATCTACCTCTATTTAATGTTCTTTCTTAACTTGCTTTTAAATTATAAAAATGTTTTCTGAAGTTGGTGTTTGTTTGACTTTTGTTTTGTTATTCATGTACCTGTTTGCCTGTAATCAGAGTTGTCATCTAATATTATATTTGCCAGAAACCAAATCCTAGTTACTTGTGTAACTTGTTTTGTAAATACCCCTCATGTAGATACTAAATAAGAAAAATGAGGATAATGACGATGCTTCAAAACACAAGTTATCTTCTATAATATGGTTCTGTTATTTTAATAATTTTAAAATGATTTTAAGTGCACATTTTTATCTAAACTGAACCACCTTTAAAATCTTTTACAAATATCAAATCATGTTGTACACCTGAAACTAATATAATGTTATATGTCAATTGTATCTCAATACAAAAAAAAAAATTTAGCCATTCAAATGTTCAGAACCTTTGAAACCAACATTGTATTTTTGGAATTTATCCTAAGATGATTATCAGAAAAAAGACATATCTATGTGCAAAAATGTTCACTAAAGTTTTATTCATAATAACAAAATATATAAATAACCTAAATCTCAAACAATAGGAAGTGGATAAATAAGATTGGTATATACATATAATGGAACATAATTCAGCTGTCAAAATTCATGCTGATAGTATAATGTTAAGTTAAAATAGAATATAAAATCATGATCAAATAATCCTATTTTAAAAATCATAAGCACATAGAAAGAAAATAAATTGAGGAAACACCCAAATGCCAGTCAGTAGAACTCTAATTAAATTTTTTAAATGTACATTCATAAATGTACATTTATGTACATTCATAAAATGCCATGTAGCTATTCAAAAAGAATAAAGCAGATCTGTGCTTACATGAAATAAAAAAGAAAAGAAGAGAAATTGAAAGAGTAAATACTAAAATGCTGACATATTGGTTTCTTCTAAATGGTAGAATTATAAGTAGTATTTTCTTTATTTATATAGAAATAAACCATTTTATTTCATTTATAAAACTATAAATCATTTTCTCCAATGATTAATTTATAATAAGGAAAAAAACGGACATTTTTAGAAGTACTCTATAATCTCCCAGTCAAGTCTAGTATTTTATTTATATTACTTTTGTATTAAACTTTAAAAATGTTTGACTTTCCATGGTCATTCACTATTAGTTAGGTAAAGCGAAGCAGCTATTTTGCTACTCTTTAGTGTTTGTTTCAAATGAAAAGAAAAGTTGAATCCAGTAAATATGAAATTTTGAATTATCTACTAACTTCATTTCATGATATTCTTATTTCTCTGATAGTGAAAGAGTTAGTGAGTTGCTTTTAGTGTCTCTCCTATGTATATTTCTAGGCTCAAATGTAAGATTTAGAAAAGTCCTGCAAGAAAATTGAGAATGCAGAAATTTTTTATTACAATATTAAGTATGAAATAAATCATACTTTTTCCCTTCAAAATTACTAATTACATTTTCAAAAAATAAAACAACATTCAAAAGTTAATGCCATTGTGTCCACACCTAAGCTATTTCTACATATAAATAGTAAATACAAAGTTTTCACATGGTCCTACCTGAGTCTTGGTACAACCATTGCATTCTGACCAAGGGGCATAGGAAGCCCACTGGCAATTGACTGGCGAGGAGGCACTGTCATAGTGTCAAATTGTCCATCATAAAGCCGACAGAAAGGTAGGAGAGAAGACAAAAAATTGGCAAGAATAGTCAAAAATTGCTTCACAATTTTTTTCCTAAGAGGCACCAAGAGGACCCCAAAATATATAAAAATATATGTGGGAAGGACTCACTTTTTCAGAGATTTATTAAATTTAATTTATGAAATATCTAGAATGTACCAGGCACTATTTAGACACTAGAGCTATATACATAAAAGAGATAGGATACTGGCAATTGGTAGAGGGGAGGATGAAGACACAGATGTGTAAACAAATAATCATAACACAATAATCGTGATCCTTTGTACAGTATAGCTAATGAGATAGACTTCCTAACAGAAATGTGTACAGTATAATGCGTTGTGGAAATACACATAAGAGAGTGTCTAAAATTGGGAGGCTAAGTGAGAACATATAAAAGGAAGGTATCATGGCCTTTGACAGGATTTTGGACGATGAATTGAAGAGCTATACAGAAATTTAACTGAGAGACAACAAGCTCTAAAACGACCGTATGAGAAGTAGGAAACCAAAATCTGGCAAAGGCTAAATGGACGAGAATTGAGTTCTACGTGCTCCCCCTGTTTATCTAGGTCACTTCTCAAGCAGTAGCGTCAAGTTGAGCTCCAAGAATTCCACCCAAATAAAATGCATGTGGAAGATGGCAAGCTGACTCTCTTACAATGCTTACCTCTGGCTGTGTCCAGGAGGTCATGTTGCTTAGTCCAAAGAGATTAAGGAAGCCTTACCTAAAACCACACTTTACAAGGGGTAGAGGAACCGGGACTCCTGCTTTCTGGACTTTGAGTACATTCCTAACCTGGGAGACATCTCAGGTCAAGGTGATTCCTGCTTAGTTAAGCATAGCACTGCCAGGTGCTGCAGATAAGGAGTGCCATTTGTGGCTCAGGTGCCCTTATGGGGCTAATCTTGCTAACCTGTCATCTTGATATAGCATCAGTGATCCAAATGCCTTAGTGTTTTTGGCCATTAAACAATCTGAACTTAATGCTATGTGTCTATTTTGTCTCCCAGAGACAGGCAGAGGCCTTCCCCAAACACCGAGGCTTGGGAAGGGAAGCTCACTTGGCCTCACCTCCTCTGTGCACCCTGTCCAGTCCCCTCACAGAGCCCTTATCACACCTGCATTGAAATCAACTCTTTCAAGATCTCAATCACCCCCTCTACTCTCAGTACCGTCTGGCTCCTCTGTGTCCCAGTCACTGGCACACCTCCAGACACATGTTCTGACAGTTCGATGAGGTAAACCGACCTGGTCCTCTCCCATCAGACAGTGAAAGCAAAGCAAGGCCGTGAGTAAATGATGCTGGCTTTTTTCCAGGTCTCAAGAGCCGATAAACCTATTTTCTTAAAAAAACTCTCAACTTTTAAAATCCCAAAGACTATTTTGCAAAGACTACATTTAAAAATCAAATTCTGCTCTAAGATGTGTAAGTCAGCTGCCATTCCCTGAATTGCAGGTAAAACCATGGTACTGGGAGAAGCAGGAAACCTTGAGGTGTTTTTAGTCTTCAGGTTTCTTCCTTATAGGGAATAAAATAAAGTAAAATAAGAATAAGAATAAAACACACTTTCTGTATAATTGCCTTTTCTAAAAAAAGGGAAAGAAAAAAAGTGTTGAAGGGTTAAACATGCTCAGGCTGCAATGTAAAAATCAGACCATAGTTAAGAATTTCCTTAAAATAAAAGAAATGATTGTTAATGATTTCCACACACAATCCAAAAAATTCTCACCTT